CCCCCCGCTTTTCCCTGTCCTTGTCGCTTATTACTGTCCCCGAGGCTTCAACAACCAACAAAATGACCATGACAACATCACTCCATAAAACAAACTGACAAAATAGTTTTGAGGAGGGATTGTAACTGTACAAGCACATGAATGAAGAACTGTTCAGGATACACAAAGGGAACTTCTAATTCACTGCCAATATATACGTGTATTTCACTGCCAATATGTTCATAACAATAACAGCGACAGCAACAGTTGACACTGACAGCCAATATAACAACAAGTGATTGAGAAATGTCCCTGCTCTCCATGTCCCCCCTTGTTTTGTCCACCTAGATTCGGCCCGCCTTGCACGGCTGGCTGAACTGACGCCCAATGACCACGGTGCAGGGAGATTGATTGTGTTGCTAATTGTGACACCTGCCAGGGATGGCTGCAATAGGTTGTGCAGTGTATTCAGACACTACAGGGTCACCTCTCCCGGGAACACCGGGTGTGGGCTGGACACACTCACAAATCATAAGCCCCAATGAGGTAAACAGCTGGGGTTGAGAGGGCCTAGAAACGTTGGCATGTGCATTTCGTAAGAGCAGCTCTTCCTCAGGTTTTTGATTCTACTGTCACTGTTCAGCAAGGTTCTGGCTGGTAAACATAATTCTAAAGGTTTTTCTTTGCAATTATGTTAAACGACAGAACCCACAGCGAACCAACACACTCACTGACTGATCTGGCAAACATGAACTATTGCTTGGACTTACAACAAAGTTGTTCCGGCTGAAGGGAATACCATCATCGCAAAAAGCCACTTATCATCCACTGAACCAGCATGTGGATGAGAAATGCTCCGGTTCATACCGTGAAAAAGCGAGGGAGCATAAGTAAAATGTTTCTCTCTCCCTCACTCTCTTTGTCATTGCGATTAGCATATTTCTCAAAGTGTCATGACACCTGCTACCCAGAGTGGGCGTGCGGAACATAATCCTTTACTTCAGACATAAGCAAAACGACCAGAAGAAAAAGACGCTTTGACTCGACTAGACCAACCAACCCCCTGATTGGAACCCTCCCACTGCAGATGCAGATTAATGCAGGGAAATACCAATTGGCAGCGCAGCAGCACCGAAGACAAAACCCTCGTTTTTTAACACGGCTGTTGTCTATCTCGATTAGTGTCAGTTTGAGGAAGCCTATTCAAAAATATTCACGCATCTGCCTTTGAGGCACAATGGAAGCTAGTTCATAAACTGTCAGCCCATTCACCTGATGCCTTTGGTTCTTATTGTTTCCTTCCCCTTCATAAACATTTGGAGAAGTTCATCAACTTGCCTGAATAGCCAATGGTGTGGGGCAAAAGACACAAAATAACAGACGGTTCTCTATTCCCATCGACTTTATTTTCTTACTCTCCCTTTTTAAGTGACTGTTTGTATATCAATAGACTGAGTGGGTAGACACACATCAAGGTGATTTCAGGCCAAACCCAAACTTCTAGTTTAGCTACAAAGTGGCTTTTAAAAGGCAAATAACAAACAATTGACTTTTAGTTCATGGTCACTGACAGTAACAAAGAGAGTTATGAACTATAACACAGATAAAAAGCCTGGATAAAAGCTACAATGTGTTCTCCTGAATTACATTTACACAACGCAACCAGACGCTACATAACGATTTTGCAGACAACATACACTTAACATGACCTAGCATTAGTTAGGGCCTACAGTGCATAAACTCAATATCTCAGAAACTATAGCTTTGAGTGTACAGTGATAACATTAGGGGGTAAAAAGATATAATTGTATTGTTGGTTAAATTGTTCTCACATATATATATTTTTTAGATGGCATGTAAAATAAGTAGCTCAAATTACATGAATGCAAAGACTTCTAAAGAAACATGAATCCACTTTCACACCTTTCAACAGCATTAACGGTTATTTTAGACAAAAATATATATATTTAGGGTAATTTAATTCCTAATTAGAATGGGTTGGTGTATTTTGAATAGGGTTTGCTCTCAGGGAGTTGAAGACTAGACAAATACACTTGTAGAATGACTTTTTCGTGCCTGTGTAGACAAACGAAGAAAATGTAATTATGCCTCCAATTCTCTACAAGTCCGCCTGGTCAAAGTAAACATTCCTCTTTGTGTGTGAGACAATTTAAATCTTGTAATAAATAATGTTGAAATTGAGCAAGTTGAGGTGACTAAACTGCTTGGAATAACCCTGGATTGTAAACTGTCATGGTCAAGACATATTGATACAACAGTAGCTAAGATGGGGAGAAGTCTGTCCATAATAAAGCACTGCTCTACCTTCTTAACAGCACTATCAACAACGCAGGTCCTACAGGCTCTAGTTTTGTCGTACCTGGACTACTGTTCAGTCGTGTGGTCAGGTGCCACAAAGAGGGACTTAGGAAAATTGCAATTGGCTCAGAACAGGGCAGCACGGCTGGCACTTGGATGTGCACAGAGAGCAAACATTAATAATATGCATGTCAATCTCTCCTGGCTCAAAGTGGAGGAGAGTGACTTCATCACTACTATTTGTGAGAGGTATTGACATGTTGAAAGCACCGAGCTGTCTGTTTAAACGACTAGCACACAGCTCAGACACCCATGCATACCCCACAAGACATGCCACCAGAGGTCTCTTCACAGTCCCCATGTCCAGAACAGACTATGGGAGGCGCACAGCACTACATAGAGCCATGACTACATGGAACTCTATTCCACATCAGGTAACTGATGCAAGCAGTAGAATCAGATTTAAAAAACAGATACAAATACACCGTATGGGGACTGTGAAGCAACACAAACATAGGCGTAGACACATGCATACACACGCATGGTAACATACACACTATACACACACGTACACATGGATTTTGTGTTGTAGATATGTGGTATTGGAATAGGGGCCTGAAGGCACACACTTAGTATGCTGTGAAATCTGTTATGAATGTATTGTAATGTTTTTAATTTTAAATTTTTGCCAGACCCCAGGAAGAGTAGCTGCTGCCTTGGCACCAGCTAATGGGGATCCATAATAAATACAAATACAAATACAAATTCCTTTAAAGTTATTGAGCAGGACAGGATTATGTACTTGCCTTTATATATGAGAAAAAATCTGAAGTCTACAGTAGACCTTTCCTAAATCTCCCAAAAAGGGAGATTGTCCCTTCAAATAACCCACCAGAGATTCGATAAGTAGTTGCTGCTGGTAGCATGTGCGCCCAGATATAGGCCTTGTCCCACATGGGAAAAGTAATTTAATTAATAGACAGGCAGGCTTGAAAGCAGCACTGGCAGTCTGTAATATTATGAACTCCCATTGTGCCGGTGTCACCACAAATGTTTCTGATAAGCAAAAGCACCCAAGGATCAAAGAATATAAGCCTCTCAATTTCCTCTAGCCGGTTCTACTTTTCCTCACCTACTTTTCTCCTCTTCTCTTACAATTTCTGAAACACACAACACGAAATCCCCTTCATGACAACCGCAGGGTCCGCCTCAGGTTAGCGGTCACCCGAGCTTTGGGAATAATCGCACATTAATATTTGACGTGATGAAGAGGTTTACACTAAAATCGTTCTCTTTCAATATTGTATTATGTCTTAATGGATTGAGAGGACAAGATTTAAGATTTTCCCCTGTCCATTTTGGAAATTCTTTCCATCAGCTGCCGTGATGTTGAGGCATAACAAGTCGTAAACGGAAAAAATATATGTTGTCCTCATAACATCCTCCTAATCTATTCAGTATACTCATTTAGTGCAGTATTTACCCCTCATGGGGTTTCTTGCTTTATAACGACCATTTTAAAGAAACTCTAAGGGATGCTCTCGGGGGAATGAGAAGGTGTTGGGCATGTACAACAGCATGTAAACATGACCCCTTATTCAATGAAAGTATATAAATATTGTTTGATGTCAAGGAAGCAGGCTTAACAACATGGATTAAAATTAATTACAGAAGCATTATGTTGCCTCTTAAATATCGTTTGGGGAATTAGTGATTTGAACATCTCCCCATGTTTATTTTTAGTATAGGCCTATGTGGCCTAAAAAGCACTAGTTCACAGGCTGAAGGGGTATCTTATTATTCATTGCTTAAAATAGATGTAACTTGATTAACAAAGCCTTTTACATTCAAAATGGTGGTCATTGTTGCTGATTTGACTAATTTGATTTGTTCCACGAATTATGTCACTTGGTTTATCAGGATTTTGAGTAGGGCCTAATACACTTCCGTTTTGTCGACGGTTTTATAGCCTACCATAAACATTTGTTAAACCTTTAAAACACTAGGCAAAAACTGGTTGAATCAACTTTGTTTCCAAGTCATTTCAACCAAAACAATCAATGTGATAACGTTGAATCAACGTGGAAAACTGATTGGATTTGCAAAAAGCCATCAATGTAAGGGCATTTCGTATTTTTTTCACCCAACTTTTAACATAAATCCAATGACAAGGTGACTTTTTTGTTGATTTCACGTTATTTTCACATTAGTTGAAAACTCAACCAAATGTAAATCAAAACTAGACGTTGAACTGAAGTCTGTGCCCAGTGGTTTGAAATGTTTGAGGGAGAAACGCCATCAGCATTAACTGCATTCTTCACGGATAGGCCTATAACAATCAAAAGGTTTTAAGTAGCCTGCAAGTCTACAGAATGTCATAATATCAGCATAGGCTACTATTACAACAATGAAATAATAACTAGTTATAAGGAAATATAAAAACCAGGGTACATTATTATTATTATTTGCTATTATTATTAGTGATTATTATAACAGCTGATGCAGCCGCCTCTGCTATTAAAAGACTCCTCGCCATTTATTTTTGCTTTTTATAGGCTATGTTCCTTAAAAATCTCGCCATGTAAATTCCAATGAAATTTGGAGAGAGGCAGCGCGAGGGGGGGAAAGGAGAGGTTAATCCGAGTTTAATAGGCTACGTTGATGCTCTGCAAAGGAAAGAGGCTGTGATGATTGTGTTATCTCTATCCAACATTTGGGTCTCCCTCAATTTCAACCCAGCCAAATAGCTGCGAGAAAGTGTAGATGGAGTCACTCTCGATGCCTGAGGAAAAAATGTTATTAATAGCTAAATAACTTCCCCATACTTTTACTAGATCTCTCTCTCACCATTTCAGATGGATTTGTTTGAAGGGGTCTCTCGACTCATCCCAGCGTCCTTTTTCTTTCAACTAAGCTTATTTTGGACACCTAAATATAATTTTCTATAACTATCTCGGGGAAACAGCAGCACGCATGCCAGAGCATATTCCGGAATATGTGGATGCATCCTTTTGTTTCGATTCAGTATTGCATGACTCCTCAAATGTTACATTTTACATTTTAGTCATTTAGCAGACGCTCTTATCCAGAGCAACTTACAGTTAGTGAGTGCATAACATTTTTCATACTGGCCCCCCGTGGGAATCGAACCCACAACCCTGGTGTTGCAAACGCCATGCTCTACCAACTGAGCTACACGGGGCCAATGTGCCGCAATACATATACCTCATCCACTCTCATTTCTAAAACCATTTAAATAAGTAGACAATTTACATGATGCCATTTGTGGGTACGTTCGGTCGCTCTTTAAGTTGTAGGTAGGGCCTACTAGCCTATCTATCATTTCCAAACGTGTTTGCTTGGCTATATGGCTACTTTTAAGAAGTGTTTTAAACGTAGTTTGAAATTGAATACAAAGCGCGGCCTTGTCTGCATGGGGCCTGGAGTTGACTGACATCTCGCTATCTCCTCGTGGCCTCTATCGGTAACATTTCCTCTTATCCTACTCACAACACTCACAAATCCCGCCTGGCCCCTGTTTGATTAGATTAAAAACCTCAGGTAATCCGCCCATTTGTTCAAGTGTTCATTGGCTCCTTCTATCACGCATGAGGGATGGTGTTATGTTGGGGCTGCAGATGGTTCATGGTTGCGTGTTGGTTTAATCAAAACCAATTGTTATTTATGAATTGACTGATACACTCCTTTCACCCTTTAGGTGTGCATTCACTCAGCACCAATGCATAATTCGAAATGAGGTCATTCATTGACCATAGGCCTACCTATGCCAATGGGATGAGCAATGCAGATACATCGTTATCACTGTTGAATTAAATAGTTTAAACATTAATGATAACCTAATAAAGCCTTGACGTTTCTTGATCACAATTTCCTACAAGATATTTGTAAATATACACTGAGTGCACAAAACATTAGGAACACCTTTCTAATATTGAGTTGCATCCCCTCTTACCCTCAGAACAGCCTAAATTTGTCGGGGCATGGACTCTACAAGGTGTCGAAAGCGTTACACAGGGATGCTGGCCCATGTTGACTCCAATGCTTCCCACCGTTGTGTCAAGTTGGTTGGATGTCCTTTGGGTGGTGGACCATTCTTGATACACACGGGGAAAAATGTTTGCGTGAAAAATGTTTGCGCCTGGCACCTACTACCATACCCCGTTCAAAGGCACTTAAATATTTTGTCTCACCCATTCACCCTCTGAATGGCACACATACACAATCCATGTCTCAATTGTCTCAAGGCTTTAAAATACTTAATTAACCTGTCCCCTCCCTTTCATCTACACTGATAGAAGTGGATTTAAAAGTTGACATCAATAAGGGATCGTAGCTTTCACCTGGATTCACCTGGTCAGTCTATGTCATGGAAAGAGCAGGTGTTCATAATGTTTTGTACATTCAATGTATATTGAGACTATTGTCTTATAGTCAGTCTATTCTAGTGTAGTCTAACAAAACAGCATATCCATTTCACCAGATTCTAGTTTGGAATGTTAAGAGTTATATGCGCCACTGCAATAATAATACAAAAAAAAATATATATACACAATTATAATCTTGACAACTATAAAATAAACGTAAAATATCATGAATTTCTGCCTGGGGCTAGCTGCGGAGTGAGCCGTTTACAGATTAAAGTGAAAAGAAAGAAAAGGCTACATTTAATCTGCTCTAAAACCCTTCAACATTACGTTTGTGGTTGAAACTCCAAGAGTGAGGGCTGATAGGGGATAAATACATTTCTTACCATGCTTGCGAGATATTACACCCCTCTCCAACACAGACGCCCATTCAACAGACACCGGTTTCATTACGAGCTGTAATAAGTTTTAACATTATTATGCCAGACGGATGATAGCATGAAACAAGTGCAGAGACAAGTCTTTTAAAGAATTACAGAAATGAGACAGTTGGTATCCTGGTTTCAACATGTCACCATCAAAAGCCATTTGGGCAAAACATTTATGGAGGGTTTGCGAGACTATTTAATTTCCAAAAGCATGCACTCCAAACAAACACAGGAGCTACATTGGGGCATAATGGGTAAATGTACATTATATCTATCTATCCATATTTGGCCCAGCGTCGTCCAGGGTAGGGGAGGGAATGGCCGGTGGGGATGTAGCTCAGTTGGTAGAGCATGGCGTTTGCAACGCCAGGGTTGTGGGTTCGTTTCCCACGGGGGGCCAGTATTAAAAAATAATGTATGCACTAACTAACTGTAAGTCGCTCTGGATAAGAGCGTCTGCTAAATGACGTAAATGTAATTGTGGTTTACTCAAAGCACTACTGCTCCCTCTGACCCCGAATCGGTTCAATTGTTGGCCGTGGCCCCCGTTTCGGCTGTCGAGCTAATAAGTATCATGGAGAGGCGTTCTGTCTGCAAACTATATGATCACACAGCGATACGTAAAATATACAGAAGTCCATAATGAACGGGTGTCACATCCCATAGGTAGGTCAGTTATGCATGCACTTGTTCATGCTCGAGATAAATTAACACAGGCAATTTCATGACACGACCCCCATAGACAACAAACTATAGCCGTAACATGATTTCTATCAATGAATGGGTTTGAGAAAGAAATTAAGAGTAATTTATAGGCTACATTAACTGACAGAACCATTTACTGCACCCCCTACAGAGAGAAAGCATAAGTAAGTGTTCAGACACAAAATAGCTAGATTCCAAAAATCTACCCAAAAAAAATATACAAAAAATAGCGTCTGCTAAATGACTAAAATGTAAATGTAAATGTAAATTAGGCATTTCCTAACAACAGTCCAACCACATTTTGCACCCTCCATTGCTTAATCTATTCCACTGACGATTCTATAATATTACCAAACTATCTACCAGCAGGGTGGATTGAATAATTAATTCACCTTTAGTTCTCCTCTTGGCCTTTTGTCCAAAGTTTCTCCCTCTTTTATTACGGTTTTTTTAGTGTGAAAAAAACCCAGCACGCTCCTTCTTTTCGCTGCCCTGCTTTTGAGGCGTTTGCCTTTGTACCTCGGAATCCTTGCCTTCAATGGAGTGGAAGTCTTGAGGACTGAAGTTCATCTTCAAGTTTAGAGAGAGGCTGTCGCTTTAGAGAAAGGCCTTTTGTGTGACCGTTTAAACAACACACAATCTGTGATCATTTCGTTTGGAAATCTCTGTCTTTTTCAAGCACAGGACCTAATATATTTTGACCACAGAATACCAAGGTCCCCTCAATAAAGAGCCACGACAAAAGACAGAACCGTTTCTTAGTAGCCTAAATAAAAAAATGTTTTATGAACAACTGAAAGACGGACGAAATAATAAGCCGTTTTCAAATAAACACAAATAGATGAACATATCCTAATAAAAAACGAATTAGACTACAATTAAATCAATGGCTTATTTTACAGGTTATTTAGCCTGTATGAGAATACCCAGCTATGAAGCAGTAAACAATCATATCCAGGATCAAGAATCACTGCGAGCTGCTGGTCGTAGGCCTAATTGATTTGATTCTCATATCGGTAATCTATCTGTCAGTTGTCGTTTCAATGGACCATGTACCAGCTCCAGAGGACGAGGAGTCTGTTGTGCAAATGAATGCCGTCTCAAATACCCTCCATCAAAGGCTCATATAAATAATTAAGCAGGTCTAGTTAAGCTTGTATTGGCAAACCACTTAACAGGACGAAAAAATCTAAAATGTGTGCAAAAGAGCATTCCACGAACAAGAAGGCCGCAACGCACAATCTCAGGCAAAATATTGCAACACATTGAGCAAACACAGGATATTGTGCGTATAAAAGAGGGTGTTTTAAAACGCAAATGTTTTCCACTTGAATTAGGCTACCTTTATCGCCGAGAATGCCATCGATGCTGTGTTTGGTTTTCTTCTCTCCGTCTTCATCCTTCTTATCACAATCGTCTTCATCATCTTTCTTCCCAAATCGAGTTCTCAGAACACGACTAATTGAACTCACTACAAGAAAAGAAAAACAAGGTAGGGTAATTACATAATCATTACAGACAGGCAAAAAAATATTTTTAAATAATGATAATAATAATAACAATAATAATAATAATAATAATAATACAATTAAGTCCAAGTGACACTAGGCCTGTTTTTGGTCCACATAAAACTATGGGGGTTAAGGTACGCCTAACTATTTCATCAACACCATTTTTTTCATATCAACCACTATTATAGAGAACTATGTTTATCTCTAGTGGCACAGCTAGCACTGCGATGCAGTGCCTTAGACCACTGCGCCACTCGGGAGACATATAATAGGCCTATGGAGAACAATATCTATGATCTAACACTCTTGTAGTAAAAAGGGTTGCTTACCAGATGAGGCCTCACCTGAAGGAACTGTGCTTCTGTCACACACCCCGTCCTTCAGTAGCTTGTCTCGGATCTCCCAGCTGAACATTCCGGGGTTCTCGCGCTTGTACTCCTCAATCCGTTTCTCCACATCAGGCGTTGCTACCTGCTTTTGTGTTTAATTTACACAGCACAATAGCAGAACATGGAGAACCAGAGACAGAGGGAGAAATAAAATGACAAGCATAGAGAATTAATAAAGCAGAGAATAGAGAACGAAGAATAAAAAATAAAAAAGAGGAGAGAAGAAGCATGAGAAGAAAAAAAATCAGTACAGGTTAATGCAGAATTGGAAAAATAATATCTGAATTGATTAATTAAATGTTTTTTTTTTTAAATAAATTAGTAGCCTACAAAGTCTCAATGCACCTGAACTAGGCTACAAAATTGCCTTTTCTAAGTTTTGGTCAATTTCAGTGGTAGGCTAATAAATAAGCAACAAAAATGGAATAGAACACAATAGCTATCTGCAAGAAATGCCTTGGATGTTTGAATATTTGGTGGTGTGAAAACTCAGGTCCATAATGGGAAACAGTCATAATAATAATAATAATAATAATAATAATAATAATAATAATAATAATAATAATAATAATAATAATAATAATAATAATAGGCTAATAAAACTGGTATTATTAAATGTATTATTTATATTATCATTAGCCTATAATTTTGTGAGGTCGAACGTTTCTCGAACTCACTCTGGGTTTGCTTCCTCCTATTGCCCCGGGTCGGATGGAACCAGTTTCTTGATACCGACAAAGAATTTTGGACACGCAACCGTGGGAAACTCGTAGCTGTCGAGAGATCACGCAGGGACGGATGCCGTTGTGGGCCATCTCCACTATCTTGTGTCGGATATGATTTGGCAGGGGCCTTCCGTTGATGAATACTCCACCAAGTTGGTTCACCCGACCTTGACCCAGGGGAGTTGACACTGTGCAGAAGAAAGATTATTATAAGAAGGCCTACTGTGAAAACATTGAAACCATTTTGTGTGTACAACAAATGCAACATTGGCAATAAGACCTTTTTTTTCGGAATGGTTTACATGGTGAATTATGATGATATTTAGCATATTTTTGTGGCGTTCGAAGATTTTTGATAGGCTATAACGCATAGTGGTAGGCTTAATTTAATTGTTATTAGCCTATACGATGTAAGGCTATAGCACAATGTAGGCTTATATTTAAATGAATGTAGCATAGTTAGGCTATCTTATCCATAAAGCATTCAGAAATTAAATGTAGCCATAAAAACATCAGCATAAAGGCCTAAATCTTAAACCCACAATTGTTACAATTAAACTAATACATTGGACACATTTCCAATAATGCGTGAAGTGGTTGAATCCGTAGCCTACTGAAATTGCATATTACAAAACAGGCATTTAACAACAGAATCGACAAGTTGTTGTCTGAAAACAGACTTGATTTGAAGGCAGAATTTGTTATTAGCCAGATAGCACATGAGTGTCCCCTTCGGCATTGAAGAGGCTGTGAAGAGTTTAGCTTCGTCCGGCGTCATTATTCACCGTCATGCTGTACAAATATTGATGAAATCCTTTGATTCATCATTTTGCTGTGTATTTTACTCTCATTTCCAGCACCAGGACACTTCAATAAATCCCAGATCTTGGCTAACTGGCAAGCTTCGTATTCTCTGGGATTTTATTGGAGTCACTTCAGCATGAACCTTGCCTGGGAGATGCTCCGACGGACGATTAATACATGCAAATAATTTGTACCTGTAAATTTCATTCACACGTTTGCATATTTCCATAAACATCCACGTAATCGAACACCATTGGCCAGTGCGAAATCCTAATAAGTCTGACTTTCATAAAATGTATTGTAGTCTACAGAGTCACTCACACCTATGTGAAATAATGAATAGCCAAATTTCTCCTTTCATTTTGTCTGACTATAGCCTATATTGACCTAACATTATGCTAGTTACATTTACGTCATTTAGCAGACACTCTTATCCAGAGCGACTTACAGTTAGCGCATACATTATTTTATCGAACCCACAACCCTGGCGTTGCAAACGCCATGCTCAACCAACTGAGCTACATCCCCTGCCGGCCATTCCCTCCCCTACCCTGGGCCAATTGTGCGCCGCCCCATGGGTCCCCCGGTCGCCGCCGGCTACGATAGAGCCTGGATTCGAACCAGGATCTCTAGTGGCACAGCTAGCACTGCGATGCAGTGCCTTAGACCACTGCGCCACTCGGGAGACTAGTTCAAATGTAATTGAGGATAAAGGCCAAAATCAAATGCAAAAACTATTGATAAACAATGTTGCTTTAAATGAGTCACAAAAAAGGTTCTGGGTAGAACCAAAAAGGGTTCTATGATTGCTTCATATATGGCACCCCTTAAGGTTCTATATAGAACCGAAATTGGTTCCATATAAAAAAGTACAAATTTTGGTTGATTGAAGAAGAACCCCTGGGGTTCTGATCAAAGAACCCTAAAAAAAGGGTTCTATATTGAACATTTAGGGGTACCATATATGAAGCAAGCAATAGAACCCTTTTTGATTCTATCCATAAATTTTTTGTCCACATGTCAGTAACGGATGTTTGTAAGTTGCATGCAAGACCTACCTTCTAAAGGGAAGCCCGTGCGGGGATAGTTTTGTCCAGGCGCTGGTCGCATCATTCGAGGGACTGTTCCTGGCAAAGACGACTGCATTCTACAGTAAAGAATTGCAGGCAAAACAAGCCCAATATTTCATCGGCTAAACCAAGTCCAGACTTGTTGGTGGTAATTGTTTTGGAGATGAAGAAACAAGTGCACTCAGAAAAATGAGAAAAAATGAAGAAAAAAAACCGATCCAATTGGATGAATCTCCCAAAACGGTAAAACACAAATACTTCTGAGGTATCACCGTGGGGGGCATAAGCAAAAATAGGACTGCTGCGAACAATGTGCAATGTGTGCGAATGGATGGATGGAGGGGGGGGGGGAGGGGGCTGGGGGGGGTCCCTTAACGCTCAAGGTTACTTAATTATTTCCAGTCTTTTCCTAAAAGGTCTGGTAGTTTCTGATGACAAAGTCAGCATGGAGGTTGGGAGTAGTTTAAGTGAATAACTTTGGCGCATGTCGTTACCGGAGGGTGTTGTCGCGCGCGCCAATAGGCTCTCGGTGCTTTCTTTTATTCATGAGGAAGAGCGCCTTACAGCCAAGTTTTCTCCACCAATTACACAAAACCGCAAATTACGTAAAACACATTTTGCTTTTCCCATTTATTGCACGCAGCTTCAAAACCAACAAACACTTTTAATAGATTAAACAGCGCCTAGGCCCTGGTGATTCTTCTTCAGTGAAAGATACATACAGTGTGTTGTGGACGTAGGCTATAAGTAAACTCACTTCAGCATTTAAGTGGGTCGTTTTCTGTTTAATTTACACATGAAATATAGGCTTTTGTGACGCAGGCTATGTGTATTGTCATCTCTAATCTCATTGAGAATATATTCAGGAAACTCTTTTTGACTATCTATTTTTCCATATATTTTATTCAATGCGTTTCTATTGGCTACTAGCAGTAAGGCCAAATTCAATGTTTTATGAAAAATAATAAAATAATATATATATATATATATATATATATATATATATATATATATATACAGTTGAAGTCGGATGTTTACATACACTTAGGTTGGAGTCATTAAAACTCGTTTTTCAACCACTCCACAAATTTCTTGTTAACAAACTATAGTTTTGGCAAGTCGGTTAGGACATCTACTTTGTGCATGACACAAGTAATATTTCCAACAATTGTTTACAGACAGATTATTTAACTTATAATTCACTGTATCACAATTCCAGTGGGTGAGAAGTTTAATTCCAGAAAATTATGTCATGGCTTTAGAAGCTTCGGATAGGCTTATTGACATCATTTGAGTCAATTGGAGGTGTACCTGTGGATGTATTTCAAGGCCTACCTTCATACTCAGTGCCTCTTTGCTTGACATCATGGGAAAATCAAAAAAAGTCAGCCAAGACCTCAGAAAAAAAAATTGTAGACCTCCACAGATCTGGTTCATCCTTGGGAACAATTTCCAAACGCCTGAAGGTACCACATTCATCTGTACAAACAATAGTATGCAAGTATAAACACCATGGGAACACGCAGCTGTCATACCGCTCAGGAAGGAGACGCATTCTGTCTCCTAGAGATGAACGTACTTTGGTGTGAAAAGTGTAAATCAATCCCAGAACAACGGCAAAGGACCTTGTGAAGATGCAGGAGGAAACATGTACAAAAGTATCTATATCCACAGTAAAACGAGTCCTATATCGACATAACCTGAAAGGCCGCTCAGCAAGGAAGAAGCCTTGTCTAAAACCGCCATAAAAAAAGCCAGATTATGGTTTGCAACTGCACATGGGGACAAAGATCGTACTTTCTGGAGACATGTCCTATGGTCTGATGAAACAAAAATAGAACTGTTTGGCCATAATGACCATCGTTATGTTCGGAGGAAAAAGGGGGTTGCTTGCAAGCCGAAGAACACCATCCCAACCGTGAAGCACGGGGGTGGCAGCATCATGCTGTGGGGGTGCACTTCACAAAATAGATGGCATCATGAGGAAGGAAAATTATGTGGATATATTGAAGCAACATCTCAAGATATCAGTCAGGAAGTTAAAGCTTGGTCGCAAATGGGTCTTCCAAATGGACAACGACCCCCAAGCATACTTCCAAAGTTGTGGAAAAATGGCTTAAGGACAACAAAGTCAAGGTATTGGAGTGGCCATCACAAAGCCCTGACCTCAAGCCTATAGAACATTTGTGGGCAGAACTGAAAAAGCGTGTGCGAGCAAGGAGGCCTACAAACCTGACTCAGATACACCAGCTCTGTCAGGAGGAATGGGCCAAAATTCACCCAACTTATTGTGGGAAGCTTGTGGAAGGCTACCCAAAACGTTTGACTCAAGTTAAACAATTTAAAGGCAATGCTACCAAATACTAATTGAGTGTATGTAAACTTCTGACCCACTGGGAATGTGATGAAAGAAATAAAAGCTGAAATAAATAATTTTCTCTACTATTATTCTGACATTTCACATTCTTAAAATAAAGTGGTGATCCTAACTGACCTAAGACAGATAATTGTTACTAGGATTAAATTTCAGGAATTGTGAAAAATTGAGTTTAAATGTATTTGGCTAAGGTGTATGTAAACTTACGACTTCAACTGTATATGTGATGTATATACATTATGGACAGTATGTGGATAGAGTATTTAGTATATATTTAGGATAAAATAATATATATACAGCAATAGTTTAATAGGATGGCGTTGACTAGAATACAGAATATACATATGAAATGAGTAAGACAGTATGTAAACATTATTAAAGTGACCAGTGTTCCATTATTAAAGTGACCAGTGATTCCATGTCTATGTACATAGGGCAGCATCCTCTAAGGTGCAGGGTTGAGTAACCCGGTGGTAGCCGGCTAGTGACAGTGACTAAGTTCAGGGCGGGTGGAGGCCGGCTAGTGGTGGCTATTTAACAGTCTGATGGCCTTGAGATAGAAGCTGTTTTTAAGTCTCTCGCTCCCAGCTTTGATGCACTGTACTGACCTTGCCTTCTGGATGATAGCAGAGTGAACAGGCCGTGGCTCGGGTGGTTGATGTCCTTGATTATCTTTTTGGCCTTCCTGTGACATCAGGTGCTGTAAGTGTCCTGGAGGGCAGGCAGTGTGCCCCCGGTGATGCATTGGGCAGACCGCACCACCCTCTGGAGAGTCCTGCGGTTGCGGGCGGTGCAGTTGTCGTACCAGGCGGTGATGCAGCCCGACAGGATGATCTCAATTGTGTGTCTGTAAAAGTTTGTGAGGGTCTTAGGTGTCAAGCCAAATTTCTTCAGCCACCTGAGGTTGAAGAGATGCTGTTGCACCTTCTTCACCACACTGTCTGTGTGGGTGGACCATTTCAGATTGTCAGTGATGTGTACGCAGAGGAACTTGAAGCTTTTCACCTTCTCCGCTGCGGCCCCATCGATGTGGATGGGGCGTGCTCCCTCTGCTGTCTTCTGAAGTCCACGTATCAGCTCCTTGGTTTTGTTGACATTGAAGGAGATGTTATTTTCCTGGCACCACTCCGCCAGGGCCCTCACCTCCTCCCTGTAGGCTGTCTCGTCATTGTTGGTAATCAGTGCTACTACTGTTGTGTCGTCTGCAAACTTGATGATTGAGTTGAAGGCGTGCGTGGAAATGCAGTCATGGGTGAACAGGGAGTAAATGAGGGGGCTGAGCACATACCCTTGTGGGGCCCCTGTGTTGAGGATCAGCGTAGTGGAGGTGTTGTTTCCTACCTTCACCACCTGGGGGCGGCCCGTCAGAGACCCAGTTGCACAGGACGGGGTTCAGACCCAGGGCCCCGAGCTTAATGATGAGCTTGGAGGGTACTATGGTGTTGAAGGCTGAGCTGTAGTCAATGAACAGCATTCTTACATAGGTATTCCTCTTGTCCAGATGGGATAGGGCAGTGTGCAATGCGATGGCGATTGCATCATCTGTGGATCTATTGGGGCAGTATGCAAATTGAAGTGTGTCTAGGGTGTCAGGTAAGGTGGAGGTGATATGATCCTTATCTAGCCTCACAAAGCACTTCATGATGACAGAAGTGAGTGCTACGATAGTGATTTAGTTCAGTTACCTTTACTTTCTTGGGTACAGAAACAATACATCTTGAAGCAAGTGGGGACAGCAGACTGTGATAGGGAGAGATTGAATATGTCCTTAAACATTCAAACCAGCTGGTCAGTGTATGCTCTAAGGACGCGGCTAGGAAAGCCGTCTGGGCCGGCACCCTTGCTAGGATTAACACGCTTAAATGTCTTACTCACGTCAGCCACGGAGAACAGGAGCCCACAGTTCTCTGGAGCAGCCCACGTCAGTGGCACTGTGTTATCCTCAAAGCGGGCGAAGAAGGTGTTTAGCGTGTCCGGGAGCAAGACATCGGTGTTAAACACAACATGATTTTTCACTTTAATCATAGTCATATTCAGTGAGACACACTGTAAAAAAAAAGTATAATAACTCTCTAGTCCGTAAACATATGATTGTAAATATTAATGAATATACACCACTGAAGATGTATACTAATCTTGTCAATTAGAGTAATTAATCAGTAGAATGAATCACAACGCTGTGCTGTAAAAACATTCATTTAGAAATCAATGTTGATTATTGAAACCCTGTTATTGCTTTACCTTGGTTTGTAAATATTGTTGTCTGTAGAATGTTTATTTGTCAAATTGTTGACACAACAATCCTGCTTCTGAATGACCTCCTTACATTTCACAGATTTGACTAGTGAAGGTTAATCAAACAGAAAGAAGAGCCGTTGACAAAAACAGAATCATTTCAAAACTTGATTACATTGGGATACGATCACATATGCCTCTCTATTTATTGGTGGGAATATCTGGGAACAGATTTCCTAAATTATCATTCACTTTGAGCTGATTTCCTTGTGATTTTCCAGTCTTATGTCCAACAATGAAAATAGTTTTAAAAAAACTTGGGGGGCCAAATTGGTGAACTCTGAAGTACAGTAATAGAGGTTGTGTTCAGTACATATAAATGTGTCTTATTTGGTTGAAAGGTGAGGCTTTATGATCACACACTCACACACTGCAAAAGGTAACCCCAGGAGAATCCAGCCGAGTTACGTGGAGCAGATAGGAATGGTACCTGATGCTGATATGATTCTCTCCTCTTTCAGTAGCAGTGAATTGATTATGTGTGTTAAAGCCTGTTATTATGGCCTGTATAAATGTTGTAGAATATAGAAATGATGTTGGTTGATGGCTGGGAAAATGATGGTCTACACACATTCACACATGTCCATGCTATTAACAGATTCACCAGCAGATGGTACTGTGCACATGTAAATAAGTCTGTTTTGTTCCTGAATGATGTTGAGAGAGAAGAGGACAATGGGTGCATCTCAATAATCTAAGGTTGCCTCCTTTCCTTCATATTTTCCCATCTGAAAGAACAAGATAGTTTAAAGCAATATGGTGGTTGCCTACCGGGGCATTGCTTTTATTGATACCATTCCAGCTATGTGACAATAAAAAATATTTAGCTCACATACAAGGCCAGATTACCGACCGGGCATATAGGGCACAGGCCCCGTGGTGTTGACCTCCAGGGAGCCCTCACTGATTTTGTTACAATATTTGAGTCACTCAGATAGCATAAGAACATAGCATACAGTGCCTTGCAAAATTATTCATCCCCCTTGGCATTTTTCCTATTTTGTTGCATTACAACCTGTCATTTAAATGGATTTTTATTTGGATTTCATGCAATGGACATACACAAAATAGTCCAAATTGGTGAAGTGAAATGAAAAAAATTACTTGTTTCAAAAAATTTGAACAAATAAATTACAGAAAAGTGGTGTGTGCATATGTATTCACCCCCTTTGTTATGAAGGCCCTAAATAAGATCTGATGCAACCAATTACCTTCAGAAGTCACATAATTAGTTAAATAAAGTCCACCTGTATGCAATCTAAGTGTCACATGATCTGTCACATGATCTCAGTATATATACACACCTGTTCTGAAAGGCCCCAGAGTCTGCAACACCACTAAGCAAGGGGAACCACGAAGCAAGCAGCACCATGAAGACCAAGGAGCTCTCCAAACAGGTCAGGGACAAAGTTGTGGAGAAGCACAGATCAGGGTTGGGTTATAAAAAAATATCAGAAACTTTGAACATCCCACGGAGCACCATTAAATCCATTATTAAAAAATGGATAGAATATGGCACCACAACAAACCTGCCAAGAGAGGGCCGCCCACCAAAACTCACAGACCAGGCAAGGAGGGCATTAATCAGAGAGGCAACAAAGAGACCAAAGATAACCCTGAAGGAGCTGCAAAGCTCCACAGCGTAGATTGGAGTATCTGTCCATAGGACCACTTTAAGCCGTACACTCCACAGAGCTTGGCTTTAAGGAAGAGTGGCCAGAAAAAAGCCATTGCTTAACGAAAAAAATAAGCAAACACGTTTGGTGTTCGCCAAAAGGCATGTGGGAGACTCCCCAAACATATGGAAGAAGGTACTCTGGTCAGATGAGACTAAAATTGAGCTTTTTGGCCATCAAGGAAAACGCTATGTCTGGCGCAAACCCAACACCTCTCATCACCTTGAGAACACCAGCCCCACAGTGAAGCATGGTGGTGGCAGCATCATGCTGTGGGGATGTTTTTCATCGGCAGGGACTGGGAATTGGCAGGGAAACCTGTTTCAGTCTTCCAGAGATTTGAGACTGGGATAGAAGTTCACCTTCCAGCAGGACAATGACCCTACGCATACTGCTAAAGCAACACTCGAGTGGTTTAAGTGGAAACATTTAAATGTCTTAAATGTCCAATTGAGAATCTGTGGTATGACTTAAAGATTGCTGTACACCAGCAGAACCCATCCAACTTGAAGGCGTTTGAGAGTGGAACAAATGCTATTACAGAGAGAGACCAAGCTTCTGGTGGTATTGACATGATGGTCTCATCGGAGTGTTTGCAAATTGTAGGGCATAAGGTGAAGATAATTCACTCACCCATTGATCGTTCAGCCTATTTAATCCAGGATGGCATTGAGTAAAGAGCAGACACAGTAACAGATACATAATGCCGGATTTTAGAGGTCTTTCAGCACAGGTGTGCAACGACCAGTAGACGTTGTGTAGAACAACATAGATTTTCCCACGGTCCACAGTGCATTAGGTTTTCCAATCTGGCAACCGCTTCTCTGCTCCTAGCCTTCAGTGCCCACCTGCGCTTGCGTAGCAGGCCTTGCACGCAGACAGACGCTCCAACTCCAAAAAGGTGCAGGCTACAGTTTACGAGCGGCCCGAGGTAGAAAAGAAAAGCCTTCTCAATCAGAAATCTTTGTACAAGCAAATTTTGTAAAATAGAGACTGAGATCTAAAAGATAATAGTTGTTATATACAGCATCCACCTTCACAAGTGTTTGCTTCTATAGACAGGATCAGGGTCATTAAAACATAAAAACTCTTAAAACTCAGATCTCAAGGATCAGACACAAAAATGCACAGACTGATTAGCTGCCATCTTGGATTGCACAAATAGGCTCAGTTGGTAGAGCATAGTCCTCTGTAGGTCAGTTTAGGCGCATGGCTACCAGTATCTCTGAAACTCATTTAGATAATACCTTTGATGATACAGTGGTAGCAATACATGGTTATATACAGTGAGGGAAAAAAGTATTTGATCCCCTGCTGATTTTGTACGTTTGCCCACTGACAAAGACATGATCAGTCTATAATTTTAATGGTAGGTTTATTTGAACAGTGAGAGACAGAATAACAACAAAAAAATCCAGAGAAACACATGTCAAAAATGTTATAAATTCATTTGCATTTTAATGAGGGAAATAAGTATTTGACCCCCTCTCAATCAGAAAGATTTCTGTCTCCCAGGTGTCTTTTATACAGGTAACGAGCTGAGATTAGGAGCACACTCTTAAAGGGAGTGCTCCTAATCCCAGTTTGTTACCTGTATAAAAGACACCTGTCCACAGAAGCAATCAATCAATCAGATTCCAAACTCTCCACCATGGCCAAGACCAAAGAGCTCTCCAAGGATGTCAGGGACAAGATTGTACACCTATACAAGGCTGGAATGGACTACAAGACCATCGCCAAGCAGCTTGGTGAGAAGGTGACAACAGTTGGTGCGATTATTTGCAAATGGAAGAAACACAAAATAACTGTCAATCTCCCTCGGCCTGGGGCTCCATGCAAGATCTCACCTCGTGGAGTTGCAATGATCATGAGAACAGTGAGGAATCAGCCCAGAACTATACGGGAGGATCTTGTCAATGATCTCAAGGCAGCTGGGACCATAGTCACCAAGAAAACAATTGGTAACACACTACGCCGTGAAGGACTGAAATCCTGCAGCGCCCGCAAGGTCCCCCTGCTCAAGAAAGCACATATACAGGGCCGTCTGAAGTTTGCCAATGAACATCTGAATGATTCAGAGGAGAACGTGTTGTGGTCAGATGAGACCAAAATCGAGCTCTTTGGCATCAACTCAACTCGCGTGTTTGGAGGAGGAGGAATGCTGCCTATGACCCCAAGAACACCATCCCCACCGTCAAACATGGAGGTGGAAACATTATGCTTTGGGGGTATTTTTCTGCTAAGGGGACAGGATAACTTCACCGCATCAAAGGGACTATGGACGGGGCCATGTACCGTCAAATCTTGGGTGAGAACCTCCTTCCCTCAGCCAGGGCATTGAAAATGGGTCGTGGATGGGTATTCCAGCATGACAATGACCCAAAACACACGGCCAAGGCAACAAAGGAGTGGCTCAAGAAGAAGCACACTAAGGTCCTGGAGTGGCCTAGCCAGTCTCCAGACCTTAATTCCATAGAAAATCTGTGGAGGGAGCTGAAGGTTTGAGTTGCCAAACGTCAGCCTCGAAACCTTAATGACTTGGAGAAGATCTGCAAAGAGGAGTGGAACAAAATCCCTCCTGAGATGTGTGCAAACCTGGTGGCCAACTACAAGAAACGTCTGACCTCTGTGATTGCCAACAAGGGTTTTGCCACCAAGTACTAAATCATGTTTTGCAGAGGGGTCAAATACTTATTTCCCTCATTAAAATGCAAATCAATTTATAACATTTTTGACATGTGTTTCTCTGGATATCAGTCTATAATTTTAATGGTAGGTTTATTTGAACAGTGAGAGACAGAATAACAACAAAAAAATCCAGAGAAACACATGTCAAAAATGTTATAAATTGATTTGCATTTTAATGAGGGAAATAAGTATTTGACCCCTCTGCAAAACATGATTTAGTACTTGGTGGCAAAACCCTTGTTGGCAATCACAGAGGTCAGACGTTTCTTGTAGTTGGCCACCAGGTTTGCACACATCTCAGGAGGGATTTTGTTCCACTCCTCTTTGCAGATCTTCTCCAAGTCATTAAGGTTTCGAGGCTGACGTTTGGCAACTCAAACCTTCAGCTCCCTCCACAGATTTTCTATGGAATTAAGGTCTGGAGACTGGCTAGGCCACTCCAGGACCTTAGTGTGCTTCTTCTTGAGCCACTCCTTTGTTGCCTTGGCCGTGTGTTTTGGGTCATTGTCATGCTGGAATACCCATCCACGACCCATTTTCAATGCCCTGGCTGAGGGAAGGAGGTTCTCACCCAAGATTTGACGGTACATGGCCCCGTCCATAGTCCCTTTGATGCGGTGAAGTTATCCTGTCCCCTTAGCAGAAAAATACCCCCAAAGCATAATGTTTCCACCTCCATGTTTGACGGTGGGGATGGTGTTCTTGGGGTCATAGGCAGCATTCCTCCTCCTCCAAACACACGAGTTGAGTTGATGCCAAAGAGCTCGATTTTGGTCTCATCTGACCACAACACTTTCACCCAGTTCTCCTCTGAATCATTCAGATGTTCATTGGCAAATTTCAGACGGCCCTGTATATGTGCTTTCTTGAGCAGGGGGACCTTGCGGGCGCTGCAGGATTTCAGTCCTTCACGGCGTAGTGTGTTACCAATTGTTTTCTTGGTGACTATGGTCCCAGCTGCCTTGAGATCATTGACAAGATCCTCCCGTGTAGTTCTGGGCTGATTCCTCACTGTTCTCATGATCATTGCAACTCCACGAGGTGAGATCTTGCATGGAGCCCCAGGCCGAGGGAGATTGACAGTTATTTTGTGTTTCTTCCATTTGCAAATAATCGCACCAACTGTTGTCACCTTCTCACCAAGCTGCTTGGCGATGGTCTTGTAGTCCATTCCAGCCTTGTATAGGTGTACAATCTTGTCCCTGACATCCTTGGAGAGCTCTTTGGTCTTGGCCATGGTGGAGAGTTTGGAATCTGATTGATTGATTGCTTCTGTGGACAGGTGTCTTTTATACAGGTAACAAACTGGGATTAGGAGCACTCCCTTTAAGAGTGTGCTCCTAATCTCAGCTCGTTACCTGTATAAAAGACACCTGGGAGACAGAAATCTTTCTGATTGAGAGGGGGGTCAAATACTTATTTCCCTCATTAAAATGCAAATGAATTTATAACATTTTTGACATGCGTTTTTCTGGATTATTTTGTTGTTATTCTGTCTCTCACTGTTCAAATAAACCTAGCATTAAAATTATAGACTGATAATTTCTTTGTCAGTGGGCAAACGTACAAAATCAGCAGGGGATCAAATAGCAGGGGATAAATCCCTCACTATATGTCTCGTGTCTTAGCCGTTGAATTGCGACTCCACTTTGTCTCTATACTGATGTTTTGCCAGTTTAATTGCCTTGCGGAGTGAGTAGCTACACTGTTTGTATTCTGCCATTTCCCAGTCACCTTGCCATGGTTAAATGCGGTGGTTCGCGCTTTCAGTTTTGCGCGAATGCTGCCATCTATCCACGGTTTCTGGTTAGGGTAGGTTTTAATAGTTACAGTTGGCACAACATCACCTATACACTTCCTGATAAACTCAGTCACCGTATCCGTGTATTCGTCGATGTTATTCTCGGAGGCGACCCGAAACATATCCCAGTCCGCATGATCAAAACAATCTTGAAGCATGGATTCCGATTGGTCAGACCAGCGTTGAATAGTCCTTAGCACGGGTACTTCATGTTTGAGTTTCTGCCTATAGGAAGGGAGGAGCAAAATAGAGTCGTGATCAGATTTGCCGAAAGGAGGGCGGGGGAGGGCCTTATAACCATCCCGGAAGTTCGAATAGCAATGGTCGAGGATTTTAGCAGCGCGGGTACAACAGTCGATATGTTGATAGAACTTCGGCAGCCTAGTCCTCATATTTGCTTTGTTAAAATCCCCGGCTACTATAAATGCAGCCTCAGGATATGTGGTTTCCAGTTTGCATAAAGTCCAGTGAAGCTCTTTGAGGGCCGTCGTGGTATAGGCTTGAGGGGGGGATATACCCGGCCGTGACTATAACCAAAGAAAATTATCTTGGGAGATAATACGGTCGGCATTTGATTGTGAGGTATTCTAGGTCGGTTGAACAGAAGAACTCGAGTTCCTGTATGTTACTACAATTACACCATGAGTCGTTAATCATGAAATACACACCTCCGCCCTTCTGCTTCCCGGAGAGATATTTATTCCTGTCTGCGCGATGAACTGAGAACCCATCTGGCTGGACCGATTTCGACAGAATATCCCCAGAGAGCCATGTTTCCGTTAAACAAAGTATGTTACAGGCCTTGATGTCTCTCTGGAATGAAATCATTGCCCGGAGCTCGTCGAGCTTGTTAACCAGAGATTGAACATTAGCGAGTAGTATACTTGGAAGCGGTGGGTGGTGTGCGCGCCTCCTAAGTCGAACCAGCAGGCCGCTCCGAGTTCCTCTCCTCCGCCGGCGATGTTTTGGGTCAGCCGCTGGAATCAGTTCAATTGCCCTGGGGAGAGCAAACAAAGGATCTGCTTCGGGAAAGTCTATTCATTTTGTGAGGGCTGCAAGCTGTTTACCAGGTTTATTTGACATTAAATAGTATGCTTTATTTTTGTTGAATCTGTAGTTGTTGGCTGTCTTCAAAAGTTAAATATTATATTCTTGCTTAAGTTCAGACATTTTATTTTCTTCTTCACTTTGTAAAGATTTTTTATGGGCTTTTTCTAAAATAGTAATTTATTTTTATTTCTAACTAAAACATTCCTCTAAAACAGTCCTGTATACGTGGGACTGGGATCTGCCTTTTAGGAGGGTATTATCGATGTGACTGTGAGTCTCTGTCCCAGCTCTTTTTTTTTTAGATGTGCCCCAAACGTATCAATTTTTAAATCCAGGTTAAAAACACTTATATTTTCACATGCCTACGACTGAGCACTTAAACTTAACCACACTGTTTAGCCTTATAGCTTCCTATGTTTTTATCCCATTTATATATATATATTTTTTATCTTTATATATATTTTTTTATTTTATTATGATGTTTTCATTATTTTTGATAAACATCTTTGTAAAGCACATTGAATTGCTTTGATGTATGAATTGTGGTATATAAATAAACTTGCTTGCTTGCTTGCTTTTGAGAGAATGTACTGAAGCCGTCATCCCAGTTATGTGTTGGATACCTAGGTTGTGGTGAGTATAGATCCCTGGGCTCATTGTACATGATTGGCTGCAGCAGTCCACCTCTTCCGTGTGGAATACTTGTGGGCCGTGGTGGTGGCAATGGTATTACCTGCTGGTCATCCCAGTTATGTGTTAAAGACCTAGGTCCTGGTGAGTAAGAGTTTAGATGCCTGGGCTGGCTGTACATCATAGGCTGCAGTCCACCTTTTCCATGCAGAGCACTGAAGAGCCATGGTGGAGGTGGTGGCAGAGGTGTTGCCTGCTGGTCATCCCAGTTTACAATCAATGATAGTAGTTGCACTTTCAGACGTCCCTTGTTTCATCCTATTTTCTTCAGCTCTGGCACAAGGCTGTGCACAAATACCTCCTCCGAGGTAGCAGCAGAAGGGATTGGCTTCCTGACAAACGCAAGCAGTTCTTCATCCACATCTTGATGGTTGACCTTCTGTATTCTTTTTCTTGGCTGCCAGTCTTGAGCCGTGTCTGTAGTGGTTGGTCTTGACTGTTGTTCAGGCATCTGTAGCACAGGGTCATGGCTCGGGGACCCCACGTCGTCCTCAGTGTCATCAGGCCCCACAAGTTGTGGCTGAGGCAAATCAGCATTTGCAAGACTGAGGTTGCCTCGAGCTGAAAATAGGTCAACATATAAATAAAAAGTCAAATGTGTTTAAGTAAACTTTAGAAACCTCAGCTCAGGCTCAATTAATCAAAATGTCATTATTCCTCTGTAATAAGGGATTGATTCATAATCTATAGACCTATATAATCACTAACTCAGAAATGGGACACCAGTTGACATGAATCAATCAAGTAGTTACTTAGTATGTAGGAAATAAGGCCAGCAATACTGCAGATCTTGAGGTTCGGAATTCAGTGCAATCAATTCAAAGGTATATTATAACTTACCTTCTTGGCTGGACGTAAGGTATCAAGATTTATAATATTTTCATTTATTTCCATTCTTTCTGATTGGTTCCCCAGAACCGCTGGGTTGGCCCTTACAAAAAATTATTGCAGTTTTGAAACTGCAGTCGACTGTGGTATTTTGGACGCAGTAATTGCAGAGTAACTACAGTGTACTGCAGTTCAATATCTTTGAAGAGTAAAATAGACATGATTGCTAACCAATAACAATACATTTATTTTGTCATTACAGGTACTTGGCATCTGGAGACTCTATTTGCAGCCTGGCCTTTACCTATCGTCTTGGATTCCAGACAGTGTCGCAGTGCATTATGGAGACCTGTGAGGCCATAGAGAGGAGGACGCTGGCGACCTATTTGCCACGACCCACTGAGGAAACCTGGAGACAAACTTCTCAAGAGTTTAGTATTTCCTTTATTTTATTTATTTTCTTACTAATTTTCTTACTCGTAAGTAAGCATTTAACGGTAAAGTCTACACCTGTTGTATTCGGCGCGTGTGACAAATAAAATGTGATTTGAGAGGTAAATGATTTTAAAGGACTAGAAACTGGCGAGCTCTGTTAGGTCGTTTCATCTTACGACTCAATATCGCCACCTACCGGCCTTCGGGCCACATGCCAGCGATAGTTTATCTTTGACCGTGTCCATAAAACGCGAAAATCTGAAAGATCTTAATCTATATATTTCTTCTAGAAACGTTTGCATACAATATAAGCAGTAGATAAACTGATAGACTACCTACCTTGACCACCTCACAAATGTGGTGGTGTCTTCTTCAGTCTGTCCAATCGATTCGCCATGGTGGATGAAAATCTGCACACGTTCTTCTGGGGGAGAACTATTAGCAGGACAAGACATGTTTACGCCGGACTTTGAAATCGACGCACACGGAACGCTAAAGAAATGAAGAAAAACAGTTTCGTAGGCTAACACGGTTATAGTGGATGAATGATATTACTTTTCACTATTTGCCCATACACTATCCTACAAGGGTGTTTTTGGCACTCAATTGAACCCTTTCACTTTAGCTAGCTAACTTAATTTTGGCTATTTTATCAAGCGAACTGCGGTACAGCCAGCAACAAACATGAACGTTGATACTCCACAGCCAGTCATAACAGGGGTCTTTTCAAATTCCTCGACATCCAGTAATTGCCTCACTAACAACATTGCATCAACTAACGTCAGCAGCATCGCCTCGGTTGCCATAGGTAATTGTAAGTATTCAGACGAGTTATGAGGTAATGATAAGCTTTATGAGCTGGCTTTAGATTCTAAAGCCAGCTCATAAAGCTTATCCTAACCAAAATAAATTTAAATTAAATTAGACACGGTTACAGTAATGAATGGTCTGCTATCTACTGTAGCTAGGTCAGAACTTTTGTCGAAATTCTTCAAGTACAGTAGCCCACACCATATAGCACTGTGCAGAACTTGAGAACCATCTTAGATCTAACACCATTCATTGCTTGCTGCTTTGTGAAACAACGGCTTAGACCACTGCTGGACCTAGGCTATCAACATCTCAGCTACATTTAGGAAGAGATTAAACCATGTATTTCTCATTTTTTTGTTTCAGCCCCAACCTCAGCTGCCATGGCCACACCATCTGACACATCCGTGTCCAACGGCGTCTATGTGCCTAGTGGCATTGCCAACGGCGATGTGAAGCCTGTAATCACAACCACACCACTGGCTGACTTTCTCATGCAATTGGAGGACTACACTCCTACAGTGAGTCAACCCCCCTTAATTGGAGGAACGTTAATTCAACAAAATATAAATGTACATGACATTTTTCACATACCTAGGCTGATGTCGACAGTCGATTGATTCTTATACATAATGCATATTTGGGTTATGTAGTTATCAGACGTCTCTGATTCACTTAGCATGTAAATGTCCTCTGATGTCAATTGTGGCGATGCAAGTGTACAAAAAAGAATAATACCAAAACACATTGCAATGACCAGTCCAACCTCTACCATGTTTTTGCCAGATACCTGATGCAGTGACAGGCTACTATCTCAACCGGGCCGGCTTTGAGGCGTCTGATCCGCGAATGTAAGCATGCCTCCTCTTTACCTCCTTAACTGCCAAGAGTCCTCTCCATCTATTTCAGCTTTTACACCAGTTCAATTCAATATCAACTCATGTGAGCGCCAAACGTAAACATTATTTATGCCCACCATTTTCAGAATCCGTCTGGTCTCCCTCGCGGCTCAGAAGTTCATCTCAGACATCGCTAACGATGCCCTGCAGCACTGTAAAATGAAGGGAACTGCCTCGGGGAGCTCCAGGAACAAGACAAAGGTTAGTGCATTTCTAATATAACGTAGCAGGCGTAAAATAAACACCTGAGCAGCGTTTCTTTCTTTCTGGTCCGGACAAGAGAAAAAAACGTGTCGGGAGGTTCTCTTCTGCCCTGTTCAACCAATTCAGTAAATGTGAAGGAGTCAAGATGGAGTGTTACCTTGTTAACGTCCAAAAGCGGACGTCTTGTCACAGGCTATTTTTCAATTTCCCATGAAAACCGAATGCATCCGGTTGTTTCCGACCACGCTGAGGGTGGTGCTTTTCTGACGCTACTGAAACATAACATAGGCTATACACCTCAGTGAATGAACACATGAACTGTTGTTAATGTAAGATGCACAGAATTATTCATGCACAAGTATAAATGCTGTTTGGATCTTTTTGATTGGTTTCTCACTCCGTCCTCCCACCTCTTCCCTCCCAAAGCATGACAAGAAGTACACATTGACCATGGAGGACCTCTCCCCTGCCCTTTCTGAGTATGGCATCAACGTAAAGAAACCTCATTACTTCACATAGGAAATTGGTCTTCACAGTGTGACAACCCCCTATGATCATGGTTCTTAAAGATGTCAGTAGAATATTAATTGCAGTCACTGTTCTGTTAGTAAAAAAAAAAAAAAAGTGGGCATGCTTTGCTTTGTGTGGAATTTTGAGCTTGTACTATTTTATTGAGACAAATAAAACGTTCAACAATGACTTTTTTCTGACTTTGTGCTTTGTTGCCTTTTCGTTTATGTAGTCTGGTGATAAACAATGGGAAGAGTTGTGGGTAGTTTGTAAACTATTTATCAGGATGATGTAACAGTACTAAAAATAGTATTTAACGTTAGGTTGAGTGGGTCAGTCAGTAATAGAGAGAAATAGTAAGGGTGTCTTTTTGTAGGCACTAACTCCGCCATGGTTCGTTGGACAAAGCCTATGAAGAAAATGAATGGTGTTTTTGTAGGCTTAGGAGATTTTCTACGTTTTGTTCTATGAGATAATCTTGATCAGCTAACATCACTTTTTGTGAATTTTGAAGAATTTATGTAATAATAAAAAACACAATTCACAAAGGCTTCATCGTTCATAAAGGTCATGTTAACTGACTGCTATTATCTCATAGCACAAAACCTATAAGATCTCCTATGCCTGTGTTAACCTCAGACCTTATTTTAGGCGTTTATATCAAAACTATTCTTTCCCCATTCGTTTTTCACATAGGGATGGCTGAACGAACCAGAGGTAATTTATTTCCGGGTTTTAGGAATACAAGCTGGCAAACTCCTCAATCTACACACAATACCCCATAATGACTAAGCGAAAAGTTTTTTTTGACATTTCTGCAAATGTATAAAAAATAAAAAACATCGTATATACATAAGTATTCAGATCCTTTGCTATGATACTCAAAATTGAGCTCAGGTGCATCCTGTTTCCATTGATCATCCTTGAGATGATTCTAAAACTTGATTGGAGTCCACCTGTGGTAAATTCTATTGATTGGACATGATTTGGAAAGGCACACACCTGTCTATATAAGGTCCCACAGTTGACAGTGCATGTCAGAGCAAAAACCAAGCCATGAGGTCAAAGGAATTGACCGTAGAGCTCCAAGACAGGATTGTGTCGAGGCACCAATCTGGGGAAGTGTACCAAAACATTTCTGCAGCATTGAAGGTCCCCAAGAACACAGTGGCCTCCATCATTCTTAAATGGAAGAAGTTTGGAACCACCAAGCGACTTACAGGAGCAATTAGGGTTAAGTGCCTTGCTCAAGGGCACATCGACAGATTTTTCACCTAGTCGGCTCGGGGATTAGAACCAGTGACCTTTCGGTTACTGGCACAACGCTCTTAACCACTAAGCTACCTGCCGCCTGCTCTTTGTTTGTTGACAAGGTTAGGGAAACTCACACACAGACAATGCTTATAACATACAGTGTTTTCAACTTACATATTTGACACACTTTGACATAGGTACATGATTACATTGTGCATGTTCATTTATACAGAAATTATTATTCAACATGTTCTCCACTGGGATTTGAATTTTGAATTTAAAACCTCTTGGTTCACGGCATTCCAATCTTCCTGCTACGCCACAATGTCTGTGCCAGTTATCAGTTAATCTGACAATTCTCTAATCATTGATTAGATTGACTTATTTCAGCTTTTTTAAGGCTTTTTGTATAGTTTTCTAATATTGGCGGGGCATATAAGCCTATTTTAATGTTACTCCTGAATCACTATGATCAATAACATAGTTTTTCATGAGGCGACCTGCCGCCTCATCGTTGTTGGTAATCAGGCCTACCAATGTTGTGTCGTCGGCAAACTTAATGATGGTGTTGGAGTCGTGCCTGGCCATGCAGTCATGGGTGAACAGGGAGTACATGAGGGTACTGAGCACACACCCCTGAGGGGCCCCCGTGTTGAGGATCAGCGTGGCAGATGTATTGTTACCTACCCTTAGCACCTGGGGGTGGCCCGTCAGGAAGTCCAGGATCCAGTTGCAGAGGGAGGTGTTTAGTCCCAGAGTCCTTAGCTTAGTGATGAGCTATGAGGGCACTATGGACGTTTTGTCCAGGTGGGAAAGGGCAGTCTGGAGTGTAATAGAGATTGCATCATCTGTGGATCTGTTGGGGCGGTATGCAAATTAGAGTGGGTCTAGGGTTTCTGGGATAATGGCGTTGATATGAGCCATGACCAGCCTTTCAAAGCACTTCATGGCTACAGACGTCAGTGCTACGGGTCTGTAGTCATTTAGGCAGGTTACCTTTGTGTTCTTGGGCACAGGGACTATGGTAGTCTGCTTGAAACATGTTGGTGTTACAGACTCAGTCAGGGACAGGTTGAAAATGTCAGTGAATACACTTGCAAGTTTGTCAGGGCATGCTCGGAGCACACGTCCTGGTAATCCGTCTGGCCCTGCGGCCTTGTGAATGTTGACCTGTTTAAAGGTCTTACTCACAGCAGCTACGGAGAGCGTTACCACACAGTCGTCCGGAACAGCTGATGCGCTCATGCATGCTTCAGTGTTGCTTGCCTCGAAGCGAGCATAGAAGTAATTTAGCTTGTCTGGTAGGCTCGTGTCACTGGGCAGCTCGTGGCTGTGCTTGCCTTTGTAATCTGTAATAGTTTGCAAACCCTGCCACATCCGAGCGTCGGAGTCGGTGTAGTATGATTCAATCTCCTGTATTGACGCTTTGCCTGTTTGATGGTTCGTCAGAGGTCATAGCGGGATGTCTTATAAGCGTCCGGGTTAGAGTCCCGCTCCTTGAAAGCGGCAGCTCTACCCTTTAGCTCAGTGCGGATGTTGCCTGTAATCCATGGCTTCTGGTTGGGGTATGTACGTACGGTCACTGTGGGGACGACGTCATCGATACATTTATTGATGAAGCCAGTGACTGATGTGGTGTCCTCCTCAATGCCATCGGAAGAATCCCGGAACATATTCCAGTCTATGCTAGCAAAACAGTCCTGTAGCTTAGCATCTGCGTCATCTGACAACTTCTTTATTGACCGAGTCACTGGTGCTTCCTGCTTTAGATTTAGCTTGTAAGCAGGAATCAGGAGGATATAATTATGGTCAGATTTGTCAAATGGATGGCGAGGGAGAGCTTTGGTACACATCTCTGTGTGGGAGTAAAGGTGGTCTAGAGTTTTTTTTCCTCTGGTTGCACATTTAACATGCTGGTATTAAACAAGAAATTATGGGATTTGATGGAGACTCTCTTTACAGGCCTCTGGAAGAGTTTCACAGTGGATGTCTTTTTGTCCCCCCCCCCCCCCACACCCCCTACAACCGTCCACCACCTAATTCTCAATGGATTACATGTGGACGCAGGACATGAGGCCGCATTAATTAAATCAAATTCAAGTTTACCTGCATTAAAGTCCCTGGCCACTAGGAGCGCCACCTCTGGATGAGCGTTTTCCTGTTTGCTTATGGCCTTACTGTGGGGAAAAAAGTATTTAGTCAGCCACCAATTGTGCAAGTTCTCCCACTTAAAAAGATGAGAGAGGCCTGTAATTTTCATCATAGGTACACGTCAACTATGACAGACAAAATGAGAAGAAAAAAATCCAGAAAATCACATTGTAGGATTTGTAATGAATTTATTTGCAAATTATGGTGGAAAATAAGTATTTGGTCAATAACAAAAGTTTCTCAATACTTTGTTATATACCCTTTGTTGGCAATGACACAGGTCAAACGTTTTCTGTAAGTCTTCACAAGGTTTTCACACACTGTTGCTGGTATTTTGGCCCATTCCTCCATGCAGATCTCCTCTAGAGCAGTGATGTTTTGGGGCTGTCGCTGGGCAACACAGACTTTCAACTCCCTCCAAAGATTTTCTATGGGGTTGAGATCTAGAGACTGGCTAGGCCACTCCAGGACCTTGAAATGCTTCTTACGAAGCCACTCCTTTGTTGCCTGGGCGGTGTGTTTGGGATCATTGTCATGCTGAAAGACCCAGCCACGTTTCATCTTCAATGCCCTTGCTGATGGAAGGAGGTTTTCACTCAAAATCTCATGATACATGGCCCCATTCATTCTTTCCTTTACACGGATCAGTCGTCCTGGTCCCTTTGCAGAAAAACAGCCCCAAAGCATGATGTTTCCACCCCCATGCTTCACATTGGTATGGTGTTCTTTGGATGCAACTCAGCATTCTTTGTCCTCCAAACACGACGAGTTGAGTTTTGACCAAAAAGTTCTATTTTGATTTCATCTGACCATATGACATTCTCCCAATCCTCTTCTGGATCATCCAAATGCACTCTAGCAAACTTCAGACGGGCCTGGACATGTACTGGCTTAAGCAGGGGGACACGTCTGGCACTGCAGGATTTGAGTCCCTGGCGGCGTAGTGTGTTACTGATGGTAGGCTTTGTTACTTTGGTCCCAGCTATCTGCAGGTCATGCACTAGGTCCCCCCGTGTGGTCTGGGATTTTTGCTCACCGTTCTTGTGCTCATTTTGACCCCATGGGGTGAGATCTTGCGTGGAGCCTCAGATCGAGGGAGATTATCAGTGGTCTTGTATGTCTTCCATTTCCTAATAATTGCTCCCACAGTTGATTTCTTCAAAACAAGCTGCTTAACTATTGCAGATTCAGTCTTCCCAGCCTGGTGCAGGTCTACAATTTTGTTTCTGGTGTCCTTTGACAGCTCTTTGGTCTTGGCCATAGTGGAGTTTGGAGTGTGACTGTTTGAGATTGTGGACAGGTGTCTTTTATACTGATAACAAGTTCAAACAGGTGCCATTAATACAGGTAACGAGTGGAGGACAGAGGAGCCTCTTAAAGAAGAAGTTACAGGTCTGTGAGAGCCAGAAATCTTGCTTGTTTGTAGGTGACCAAATACTTATTTTCCACTATAATTTGCAAATAAATTCATTAAAAATCCTACAATGTGATTTTCTGGAAAAACAAATCTCAATTTGTCTGTCATAGTTGACGTGTACCTATGATGAAAATTACAGGCCTCTCTCATCTTTTTAAGTGGGAGAACTTGCACAATTGGTGGCTGACTAAATACTTTTTTCCCCACTGTATGTTTATCCCCGTTCTGTTTGCTTCAGCTTAAGAAACATTTTTCAACAGAATCGGCGGAATGATCACCCACAAACACAGTTCACTTTCACATACAAACAGCATTTTGCTTGTTTTAAATTTTGTTTAAAAATAATTTTCACCTTTATTTAACCAGGTAAGCCAGTTGAGAAAACGTTCTCATTTACAACTGCGACCTGGCCAAGATAAAGCAAAAGCTGTGTGATAAAAACAACAACAACACAGAGTTACATATGGGATAAACAAAAACACACAGTCAATAACACAATAGAAAATGTAGTAAGTTATGGAGGTAAGGCAATAAATATGCCATAGTGCAAAATAATTACAATCTAGTATTAACACTGGAATGATAGATGTGCAGAAGATGATGTGCAAATAGAGATACTGGGGTGCAAATGAGCAAAATAAATAACAATATGGGGATGAGGTAGTTGGGTGGGCTAATTACAGATGGGCTGTGTACAGGTGCAGTGATCGGTAAGTTGCTCTGACAACTGATGTTTAAAGTTAGTGAGGGAGATAAGAGTCTCCAGCTTCAGAGATGTTTGCAGTTCTTTCCAGTCATTGGCAGCAAAGAACTGGAAGGAATGGCGGCCAAAGAAGGTGTTGGCTTTGGGGATGACCAGTGAGATGTACCTTCTGGAGCGCATACTACGGGTGGGTGTTGCTATGGTGACCAATGAGCTAAGATAAGGTGGGGATTTGCCTAGCAGTGATTTATAGATGACCTGGAGCCAGTGGGTTTGGCGACGAATATGTAGTAAGGGCCAGCCAACGAGAGTGTACAGTTCACAATGGTGGGTAGTATATGGGGCTTTGGTGACAAAACGGATGGCACTGTGATAGACTACATCCAATTTGCTGAGTAGAGTGTTGGAGGCTATTTTGTAAATGACATCGCCGAAGTCAAGGATCGGTAGGATAGTCAGTTTTACGAGGGCATGTTTGGCAGCATGAGTGAAGGAGGCTTTGTTGCGAAATAGGAAGCCGATTCTAGATTTAACTTTGGATTGGAGATGCTTAATGTGAATCTGGAAGGAGAGTTTACGGTCTAACCAGACACCTAGGTATTTGTAGTTGTCCACATATTCTAAGTCAGACCCGCCGAGAGTAGTGATTGTAGTTGGGCAGGCGGGTGCAAGCAGCGTTCGGTTGAAGAGCATGCATTTAGTTTTACTAGCGTTTAAGAGCAGTTGGAGGCCATGGAAGGAGTGTTGTATGGCATTGAAGCTCGTTTGGAGGTTTGTTAACACAGTGTCCAATGAAGGGCCAGATGTGTACAAAATGGTGTCGTCTGCGTAGAGGTGGATCTGAGAGTCACCAGCAGAAAGAGCGACATCATTGATATACACAGAGAATAGAGTCGTCCCAATAATTGAACCCTGTGGCACCCCCATAGAGACTGCCAGAGGTCCAGACAACAGGCCCTCCGATATGACACATTGAACTTATCTGAGAAGTAGTTGGTGAACCAGGCGAGGCAGTCATTTGAGAAACCAAGTCTATTTAGTCTGCCAATAAGAATGCTATGATTGACGGAGTCGAAAGCCTTGGCCAGGTAGATGAAGACGGCTGCACAGTACTGTCTTTTATCGATCGTGGTTATTATATCGTTTAGGACCTTGAGCGTGGCTGAGGTGCACCCATGACCAGCTCGGAAACCAGATTGCATAGCGGAGAAGGTACGGTGAGATTCGAAATGGTCGGTAATCTGTTTGTTAACTTGGCTTTCAAATACTTTCGAAAGGCAGGGCAGGATGGATATAGGTCTGTAACAGTTTGGATCTAGAGTGTCACCCCCTTTGAAGAGGGGGATGACCGCGGCAGCTTTCAAATCTCTGGGGATCTCAGACGATATGAAAGAGAGGTTGAACAGGCTAGTAATAGGGGTTGCGACAATTTCGGCGGCTAATTTTAGAAAGAAAGGGTCCAGATTGTCTAGCCCAGCTGATTTGTAGGGGTCCAGATTTTGCAGCTCTTTCAGAACATCAGCTATCTGAATTTGGGTGAAGGAGAAGCAGGTGGGGGAAATGGGCAAGTTGCAGTGGAGGGTGCAGAGCTGGTGGCCGGGGTAGGGGTAGCCAGGTGGAAAGCATGGCCAGCCGTAGCAAAATGCTTGTTGAAATGTTCAATTATTGTAGATTTATTGGTAGTGACAGTGTTTCCTAGCCTCAGTGCAGTGGGCAACTGGGAGGAGGTGCTCTTATTCTCCATGGACTTTACAGTGTCCCAAAACCTTTTGGAGTTAGTGCTACAGGATGCAAAATTCTGTTTGAAAAAGCTAGCCTTTGCTTTCCTATATTCCCTGAAAAGTTGCATTTCGCGGGGGCTGTTTGATGCTAATGCAGTACGCCACAGGATGTTTTTGTGCTGGTCAAGGGCAGTCAAGTCTGGGGTGAACCAGGGGCTATATCTGTTCTTAGTTCTGATTTTTTTGAATGGGGCATGCTTACTTAAGATGTAGAGGAAAGCACTTTTAAAGAACAACCAGGCATCCTCTATTGACGGAATGAGGTCAATATCCATTCAGGATACCCGGGCCAGGTCAATTAGAAAGGCCTGCTCGCTGAAGTGTTTTAGAGAGCATTTGACAGTGATGAGGGGTGGTCGTTTGACCGTGGACCCATTACGGACGCAGGCAATGAGGCAGTGATCACTGAGATCCTGGTTGAAGACAACGGAGGTGTATTTAGAGGGTAAATTAGTCAGGATGATATGTATGAGGGTGCCCATGTTAACGGATTTAGGGTTGTACCTGGTAGGTTCCTTGATAATTTGTGTGAGATTGAGGGCATTTAGTTTAGATTGTAGGACGGCCGGGGTGTTAAGCATATCCCAGTTTAGGTCACCAAGCAGTACGAACTCTGAGGATAGATGGGGGGCAATCAATTCACATATGGTGTCCAGGGCACAGCTGGAGGCTGAGGGGGGTCTGTAGCAAGCGGCAAAAGTGAGAGACATACAGTGGGGAGAACAAGTATTTGATACACTGCCGATTTTGCAGGTTTTCCTACTTACAAAGCATGTAGAGGTCTGTAATTTTTATCATAGGTACACTTCAACTGTGAGAGACGGAATCTAAAACAAAAATCCAGAAAATCATATTGTATGATTTTTAAGTAATTCATTTGCATTTTATTGCATGACATAAGTATTTGATACATCAGAAAAGCAGAACTTAATATTTGGTACAGAAACCTTTGTTTGCAATTACAGAGATCATACGTTTCCTGTAGGCCTTGACCAGGTTTGCACACACTGCAGCAGGGATTTTGGCCCACTCCTCTATACAGACCTTCTCCAGATCCTTCAGGTTTCGGGGCTGTCGCTGGGCAATACGGACTTTCAGCTCCCTCCAAAGATGTTCTATTGGGTTTAGGTCTAGAGACTGGCTAGGCCACTCCAGGACCTTGAGATGCTTCTTACGGAGCCACTCTTTAGTTGCCCTGGCTGTGTGTTTCGGGACGTTGTCATGCTGGAAGACCCAGCCACGACCCATCTTCAATGCTCTTACTGAGAGAAGGAGGTTGTTGGCCAAGATCTCGCGATACATGGCCCCATCCATCCTCCCCTCAATACGGTGCAGTCGTCCTGTCCCCTTTGCAGAAAAGCATCCCCAAAGAATGATGTTTCCGCCTCCATGCTTCACGGTTGGGATGGTGTTCTTGGGGTTGTACTCATCCTTCTTCTTCCTCCAAACACGGCGAGTGGAGATTAGACCAAAAAGCTATATTTTTGTCTCATCAGACAACATGACCTTCTCCCATTCCTCCACTGGATCATCCAGATGGTCATTGGCAAACTTCAGACGGGCCTGGACATGCGCTGGCTTGAGCAGGGGGACCTTGCGTGCGCTGCAGGATTTTAATCCATGACGGCGTAGTGTGTTACTAATGGTTTTCTTTGAGACTGTGGTCCCAGCTCTCTTCAGGTCATTGACCAGGTCCTGCCGTGTAGTTCTGGGCTGATCCCTCACCTTCCTCATGATCATTGATGCCCCACGAGGTGAGATCTTGCATGGAGCCCCAGACCGAGGGTGATTGACCGTCATCTTGAACTTCTTCCATTTTCTAATAATTGAGCCAACAGTTGTTGCCTTCTCACCAAGCTGCTTGCCTATTGTCCTGTAGCCCATCCCAGCCTTGTGCAGGTCTTCAATTTATCCCTGATGTCCTTACACAGCTCTCTGGTCTTGGCCATTGTGGAGAGGTTGGAGTCTGTTTGATTGAGTGTGTTGTCACGAACCGGCTCAAGTTCGTAACAAAAGGGAGACACGTGGAGACAAGGAATACTCAAAGTATATATTTATTAACTAAAGTAAACTAAATCAAATAACAATGGTGTGTGTAATCAGTAGTGTAAGTGAGTGTTTGCATGCATAAATGTAATATGGAAAAGTGTTGAGAGGTGCCAAAGCAAACAACCAAAAAGGCCACAAAAATACCACAACCAAAGTCAAAGTATCTGCCTGGAGAGAGTCTCCTCAATGAATGTGGAAGAGGTCCATTTATGCTGGGACACACCCGGCCCAGGTGTTTCCCATGTAGCTGACGACCCTCCCAACTCCGCCCACCGGCATCCTAATAAGGAAACAAGAGCAAAGAGAGAATACGCCAGACAGAGTGGGAGGGTCGTCACAGTGTGGACAGGTGTCTTTTATACAGGTAACGAGTTCAAACAGGTGCAGTTAATACAGGTAATGAGTGGAAAACAGGAGGGCTTCTTAAAGAAAAACTAACAGGTCTGTGAGAGCCAGAATTCTTACTGGTTGGTAGGTGATCAAATACTTAAGTCATGCAATAAAATGCAAATTAATTACTTAAAAATCATACAATGTGATTTTCTGGATTTTTGTTTTAGATTCCGTCTCTCACAGATGAAGTGCACCTATGATAAAAATTACAGACCTCTACATGCTTTGTAAGTAGGAAAACCTGCAAAATCTGCAGTGTATCAAATACTTGTTCTCCCCACTGTATTTCTGGAAAGGTGGATTTTTAGAAGTAGAAGCTCAAACTGTTTGGGCACAGACCTGGATAGTATGAAAAATGTATGCACTCACTAACTGTAAGTCGCTCTGGATAAGAGTGTCTGCTAAATGACTAAAATGTAAATGTAAATGTATGATAGAGCTCTGCAGGCTATCTAGTTATAATTCCTTCTCGCATCTACGCGCTATCGTCCTCTCACCTTTTCCCTTCGCTTGCAGACTTTAGTGCTCAACACAACAACTGTCTGTGACCAGGTGAAAAAACCTTTCCAAGCCAAACCTTCATATCATAACCTCTAACCGCTACACACAGCCTACATCGTTGTCACCATACTAGCGAACATCCTAGTCAACATAGCTAGTAGAACTAACGCGTTAGTAAACCCGCTACAATCATGCAGTACAGTGTGCAGCAAGCAGTTTAGCAGTTACATTGGCGGGACCCGGTGGCAATAAATTAATAAAACCAAAAGCTTACCTTGACTTGGAAGAGTTCCAGTGTTGGATCGCCATAGCCAACTAGCTAACATAGCATCCATCTCTGTTTGAGCCGGGTGTTTGTGTAGGCTTAACTAGATAGCTGCATTTGCTAAGTGCAAGTTTTAAAAAAATACAACAAAATATAGCTAGCCCTCTCTTGCTTCTCCTTCATTTTTGAAGAAATTAGTTTGTTCAAAACTGTTGAACTATTGTCTTTTTCTTTGAGTCAACTACTCACCAAATGTTATGCACTGCAATGCTAGCTAGCTGTAGCTTATGCTTTCAGTACTAGATTCTTTCTCTGATCCTTTGATTGGGTGGACAACATGCCAGTTCATCATGCAAGAGCTCTGATAAGTTGGAGGACGTCCTCTGGAAGTTGTCATAATTACTGTGTAAGTCTATGGAAGGGGGTGAGAACAATGAGCCACCTAGGCTACTATAGACCTTCATTGCAAAACGGTGTTTTAATCAATTATTTGGTGACGTAAATATATTTAGTGTAGTTTTATCTAAAAAGGAAAACTTTGTTTCTTTATTTTTATGAAGGATGGTCCTCTCCTTCCTTCTCTGAGGAGCCTCCACTGGTGTGTAGTAATGGCTTGAAACAAACGCACGCACTGAAGGTCTCCTAGCCTAGTCAGCATTAGGGATGTGACGGTAATTGAATAACAGTGTAACTGATGGTTATGGATGAATGTCATGAAAATAAAGTAACCATCAAACCATTTACATACAGTGGGGAGAACAAGTATTTAATACACTACTTACAAAGCATGTAGAGGTCTGTAATTTTTATCATAGGTACACTTCAACTGTGAGAGACGGAATCTAAAACAAAAATCCAGAAAATCATATTGTATGATTTTTAAGTAATTCATTTGCATTTTATTGCATGACATAAGTATTTGATACATCAGAAAAGCAGAACTTAATATTTGGTACAGAAACCTTTGTTTGCAATTACAGAGATCATACGTTTCCTGTAGGTCTTGACCAGGTTTGCACACGCTGCAGCAGGGATTTTGGCCCACTCCTCCATACAGACCTTCTCCAGATCCTTCAGGTTTCGGGGCTGTCGCTGGGCAATACGGACTTTCAGCTCCCTCCAAAGATTTTCTATTGGGTTCAGGTCTGGAGACTGGCTAGGCCACTCCAGGACCTTGAGATGCTTCTTACGGAGCCACTCCTTAGTTGCCCTGGCTGTGTGTTTCGGGTCGTTGTCATGCTGGAAGACCCAGCCACAACCCATCTTCAATGCTCTTACTGAGGGAAGGAGGTTGTTGGCCAAGATCTCGCGATACATGGCCCCATCCATCCTCCCCTCAATACGGTGCAGTCGTCCTGTCCCCTTTGCAGAAAAGCATCCCCAAAGAATGATGTTTCCACCTCCATGCTTCACGGTTGGGATGGTGTTCTTGGGGTTGTACTCATCCTTCTTCTTCCTCCAAACACGGCGAGTGGAGTTTAGACCAAAAAGCTATATTTTTGTCTCATCAGACCACATGACCTTCTCCCATTCCTCCTCTGGATCATCCAGATGATCATTGGCAAACTTCAGACGGGCCTGGACATGCGCTGGCTTGAGCAGGGGGACCTTGCGTGCGCTGCAGGATTTTAATCTATGAGGCGTAGTGTGTTACTAATGGTTTTCTTTGAGACTGTGGTCCCAGCTCTCTTCAGGTCATTGACCAGGTCCTGCCGTGTAGTTCAGGGCTGATCCCTCACCTTCCTCATGATCATTGATGCCCCACGAGGTGAGATCTTGCATGGAGCCCCAGACCTAGGGTGATTGACCGTCATCTTGAAATGTTCTAATAATTGCGCCAACAGTTGTTGCCTTCTCACTGCTTGCCTATTGTCCTGTAGCCCATCCCAGCCTTGTGCAGGTCTACAATTTTATCCCTGATGTCCTTACACAGCTCTCTGGTCTTGGCCATTGTGGAGAGGTTGGAGTCTGTTTGATTGAGTGGTGGACAGGTGTCGTTTATACAGGTAACGAGTTCAAACAGGTGCAGTTAATACAGGTAATGAGTGGAGAACAGGAGGGCTTCTTAAAGAAAAACTAACAGGTCTGTGAGAGCCAGAATTCTTACTGGTTGGTAGGTGATCAAATACTTATGTCATGCAATAAAATGCAAATTAATTACTTAAAAATCATACAATGTGATTTTCTGGATTTTTGTTTTAGATTCCGTCTCTCACAGTTGAAGTGTACCTATGATAAAAATTACAGACCTCTACATGCTTTGTAAGTAGGAAAACCTGCAAAATCGGCAGTGTATCAAATACTTGTTCTCCCAACTGTAGGCCTACATTCATTTTAGGATTTATTTAATTAACTTTCTTTTCATGTAGATAACCTTTACCTAATAGCAGGAGTATTTACTAATGATTATAAGCAATTGTTTTGCCAACTTAGGCTGTCTATTAAACTTTCTACATCTCCTCTGCTTTCCAACTGTCCTTTGCTCAAGCAGCCAACGAGACCCCATAAAATTACAGCCCTTCTATCCCCTCAAAGTAGAATAGTAGCCTAGGCTATAGTGTTGGCCTGCAACGCACTTTTATGAATGCCCATGTGGTAGCCTACCATTTGTAAAACAGGCAATTTACCATTAATCACTGTCTTTTGGTTACATTAATTTCTGTTAATGCATGTATTACAGTGGGGGGAAAAAGGTATTTAGTCAGCCACCAATTGTGCAAGTTCTCCCACTTAAAAAGATGAGAGAGGCCTGTAATTTTCATCATAGGTACACGTCAACTATGACAGACAAATTGAGAATTTTTTTCTCCAGAAAATCACATTGTAGGATTTTTAATGAATTTATTTGCAAATTATGGTGGAAAATAAGTATTTGGTCACCTACAAACAAGCAAGATTTCTGGCTCTCACAGACCTGTAACTTCTTCTTTAAGAGGCTCCTCTGTCCTCCACTCGTTACCTGTATTAATGGCACCTGTTTGAATTTGTTATCAGTATAAAAGACACCTGTCCACAACCTCAAACAGTCACACTCCAAACTCCACTATGGCCAAGACCAAAGAGCTGTCAAAGGACACCAGAAACAAAATTGTAGACCTGTACCTGGCTGGGAAGACTGAATCTGCAATAGGTAAGCAGCTTGGTTTGAAGAAATCAACTGTGGGAGCAATTATTAGGAAATGGAAGACATACAAGACCACTGATAATCTCCCTCGATCTGGGGCTCCACGCAAGATCTCACCCCGTGGGGTCAAAATGATCACAAGAACGGTGAGCAAAAATCCCAGAACCACACGGGGGACCTAGTGAATGACCTGCAGAGAGCTGGGACCAAAGTAACAAAGCCTACCATCAGTAACACACTACGCCGCCAGGGACTCAAATCCTGCAGTGCCAGACATGTCCCCCTGCTTAAGCCAGTACATGTCCAGGCCCGTCTGAAGTTTGCTAGAGTGCATTTGGATGATCCAGAAGAGGATTGGGAGAATGTCAAATGGTCAGATGAAACCAAAATATAACTTTTTGGTAAAAACTCAACTCGTCGTGTTTGGAGGACAAATAATGCTGAGTTGCATCCAAAGAACACCATACCTACTGTGAAGCATGGGGGTGGAAACATCATGCTTTGGGGCTGTTTTTCTGCAAAGGGACCAGGACGACTGATCCGTGTAAAGGAAAGAATGAATGGGGCCATGTATCGTGAGATTTTGAGTGAAAACCTCCTTCCATCAGCAAGGGCATTGAAGATGAAACGTGGCTGGGTCTTTCAGCATGACAATGATCCCAAACACACCGCCCGGGCAACGAAGGAATGGCTTCGTAAGAAGCATTTCAAGGTCCTGGAGTGGCCTAGCCAGTCTCCAGATCTCAACCCCATAGAAAATCTTTGGAGGCAGTTGAAAGTCCGTGTTGCCCAGCGACAGCCCCAAAAAATCACTGCTCTAGAGGAGATCTGCATGGAGGAATGGGCCAAAATACCAGCAACAGTGTGTGAAAACCTTGTGAAGACTTACAGAAAACGTTTGACCTGTGTCATTGCCAACAAAGGGTATATAACCAAGTATTGAGAAACCTTTGTTATTGACCAAATACTTATTTTCCACCATAATTTGCAAATAAATTCATAAAAAATCCTACAATGTGATTTTCTGGATTTCTTTTTCTCATTTTGTCTGTCATAGTTGACGTGTACCTATGATGAAAATTACAGGCCTCTCTCATCTTTTTAAGTGGGAGAACTTGCACAATTGGTGGCTGACTAAATACTTTTTTTCCCCACTGTAAGTACAGTAATTTACTGTTTTTATTCTCGGAGTGGAAATGTTGTTTGCAGAGTTCACAACCTGCTACACTTGTGAGAAACAAGTTTTGGTGTATTTCATACCATAATTTACGTGCTCCATGTGAGCAACCTGAGCACTCATAGAAGTAAGTACCTGGCCTGCTTCCACTTAATGTCAAAAGAAGGAAAGTGCCCAGCTGGGCTTCTGTAATTTTTTTGTTCACCTCACACAGTAAAGTCAACAAGGTTTATAATATATATATATATATTTTTTACATCCATTCAAATTATAACAGTTTCTCACAGTATTTGAGTTTAGGCTACATTATTTATCTCTTTGAAGAACATATGCCAATGCCACTGCAATCAGCAGCAGGGTTTGTGACGTTATCTGAATGTTTCCGGAAAGGTGGGAGAAAACCCATCGTTTGAATGGTTTTGTGTGTCGAAATAGGATCTCTATTTATTTCTTTATATGCAGAAAAGACAACAGACAAGGACAAGGTAGGCATATACACTACATGACCAAAAGTATGAGACACCTGCTCGTCGAACATCTCATTCCAAAATCATGGACATTAATATGGAGTTGGTCCCCCCTTTGCTGCTTTAACAGCCTCCACTCTTCTGGGAAGGCTTTCCACTAGATGTTGGAACATTGCTGCAGGGACTTGTTTCCATTCAGCCACAAGAGCATTAGTGAAGTCGAGCACTGATGTTGGGCGATTAGGCCTGGCTCGCAGTCGGCGTTCCAATTCATCCCAAAGGTGTTGGATGGGGTTGAAGTCAAGGCTTACATTTACATTTTTGTCATTTAGCAGATGCTCTTATCCAGAGCGACTTACAGTAGTGAGTGCATACTTTTTCATACTGGTCCCCCGTGGGAATTGAACCCACAATCCTGGCATGGCAAGTGCCATGCTCTACCAACTGAGCCACATGGGACTCTATGCAGGCCAGTCAAGTTCTTCCACACCGATCTCGACAAACCATTTCTGTATGTACCTTGCTTTGTGCACAGGGGCATTGTCATGCTGAAACAGGAAAGGCCCTTCCCCAAACTATTGCCATAAAGTTGGAAACACAGAATTGTCTAGAATGTCATTGTATGCTGTAGCGTTAAGATTTCCCTTCACTGGAACTAAGGGGCCTAGCCCGAACCATGAAAAACAGCCCCAGACCATTATTCCTCCTCCATCAAACTTTACAGTTGGCACTATGCATTCGGGCAAGTAGCGATCTCCTGGCATCCGCCAAACCCAGATTCGTCCATCGGACTGCCAGATGGTGAAGCGAGGACAGACGATTTTTAGCACTCGGCGGTCCCGTTCTGTGAGCTTGTGTGGCCTTCCACTTCGTGGCTGAGCTGTTGTTGCTCCTAGATGTTTCCACTTCACAATAACAGCACTTACAGTTGACCGGGGCAGTTCTAGCAGGGCAGAAATTTGATGAACTGACTTGTTAGAAAGGTGGCATCCTATGATGGTGCCACGTTGAAAGTCACTGAGCTTTTCAGTAAGGCCATTCTACTGCCAATGTTTGTCTATGGAGATTGCATGGCTGTGTGCTGGATTTTATACACCTGTCAGCAATGGGTGTGGCTGAAATAGCCGAATCCACTAATTTGAAGAGGTGTCCACATACCTTTTTTACATCTTTACTTTGACTCCATTAATGTTGTGTCAATACGAAAATGCAACAGATCCTCTCCAACCTGGCATTTCTTAATTTGTTGATTTAATATTTATAATAACCTGAATAATAATAATAATGAAATGCCATGATAATAACGAAGTGTAATGGCTTGTTTCATATAGGTTTTATTAAGAAGCATATCCATGTAAACAAGTGTACAAACAGAATTGTGACCGCCTCTTTTATTTTTGTCATCCTATTTAGCTAGGCTAGCCTGCCTAAGTATGCTACAGAGCTGTCAATCATTTTACTAGTTTTTCAAAGTAGATAAGGCATTAGTTTTCCGAACTCTCTATCCCGCTCTCTCTTGTGTTGTGTACATTCCTCTCTCATGCAGCGGTGTATGCGGTCTGTGTGTATCTAACATAGCAGGCATAAAAGTGTAGCCATCTCTGTCAGACGGAAAAGAACAGGCGCAATGGATTATGGTCATTGTAGTTAATTACCATGTTTTTTGTTTGAGCAGTGTGACATTTGTCACTATATGAAACACACACACAGGCAGTGTACTTGGCAGCAAAAGGGCTGGACTCTGTCATCACATTTGATGACAAAGTTGATTTTTTATTGTGTGTAGGGCAGTGTATCAGTATGCCTACACTAGGGGCTCAATTCAATCATTTTGGTATAGTAGCTGTCTTTTCTCATGGTCAGTTATACCACAATGATTTTACATACCAGAATAACCTACCAGTGTCTTGTAGTCTCCCCTCTTTGGTTGATGTTATGAATAATTAGTATAAATGTGCAGGGTTTTTTCTGCATAGAAAAGTATTGGTCTGTGTTTTTTTGGGGGGACGCCTTTGTCCAAACATTTTTTTTAAAATGATATTTTATTATTATACTTTTTTTTGTTTTGATTTTGTTATAATGTTTGAGTCACTCAGATAGCATAAGCCATGGCAAAATAGCTTTAACATTTACATTTTAGTCATTTAGCAGACGCTCTTATCCAGAGCGACTTACAGTTAGTGAGTGCATACATTTTCATACTTGCCCCCCGTGGGAAACGATCCCACAACCCTGGCATTGCAAGCACCATGCTCTACCAACTGAGCTACAGGTGACATACAAATACTTTGTGGACTGCGGGCCGCCAGTTGGGGAACCCTGCTTTAGAGAAACTAGAGTACTGATCCGGTTGTTATAGTTTAAGAATGTAACCTACACCAACAGAATTGGCCAGTTTAAGTGAACACACTTGTGAATTCAATAAAACAGATGAAGCTGTATTTGTGAACAAAGTCAGAATGAGTAATTTGACACATTGTGGATATAGGATATTCCATTTTATTCATACACTAGCCTAATCTGTATTGAAAGATTCAGGTTGATTGAATTTACATACATTTTGGATGTAGTGAGTGTGAGTCAGTTAGTCTACGTTGCAAAAGGTAAAACAAGAAAGAACAGACCTAAAATGAAAGGCATCAGTACTCTAGTTTCTCTAAAGCAGGGTTCCCCAACTGGCGGCCCGCAGTCCACAAAGTATTTGTAATTATGTTCCGGCCCCCCGACCATCCGCTCAAGAAAAAATCGGCCCGCGGCTAAATCTAGTTGAGGATCCCTGCTCTATAAAGCGTATTGAAAAAGCATGTGTTGTGTGTATCTACCTACTGTTACAGAGAAACATGAAAGTCGAGGAGTGAGAGTCAATACAGTTTATTAATCAAACATTGAAGAAGCGTACAAACTATGCTACTTAAAGTGTTGCAGGTCCTTTTTCTGTCCATGTCCTTGCACGTGTGTGAGAGAGTGAAAGTGTCAGTGAGTGTGTGGGAACAATGAGGTAGCTTAAACTAAGGTCAATAATTATTGCAATTATACAGGCTAGGCCTACTAACTATGTTCTGTAGAAGTCTGTAACAGCATAACTGTTGTCCTCTGTGTTCTTAAAGGAAAGATTCAGCCATTTTGAATGTTTTGGGGCATCTGAGCGATGTTCTATTGATTCCTGGGGTCATTTCATGTGTATCTGAGCTCTTGCCGTTCACACAGGCAGAAATACAGCCACTATGATGTAGCATTGTGATAAAGCCGCTCTCACTAAACTGGAAGTTAATAGGAAGATGATTTTTAGATCGCTACAACGTCTATCATACATGTCAGATTTCAATTTTGGATGATGTCATAACGCGGGAGGTTGTCTTCTCTCGAATGAGCCATTGATAATATTTTTGCAATATTCCTACCTCGAGAAATGTGTAATTTAACAGAGGGTCCACAAGAATTCTCCTATTTTTCTGCCTCTTCAGTCCAGGGTGCATTGCATGGTGCTGCCCAGTGGCTCATAGAGCGGAATCGTGAGAGGCTCTGTTGGAAATGTAGGAAACTGCAAAGTCCGAGGAAGCTTGGGGAGAGGATTGCCTAATCTTGGAGGGTAAGGGAAAATGCTGTTTTATGAAAAAACAGGAACAGATGGAAGTAGTTGTCATGATACCAGAATTTTTACTTCGATACCAGGTTTAGTATCACAATATTCGATACCAAAACGATACCACGGCAAAAAAAGGAGGCATATTAGCCAAAGTCATAGAATGACACTTGATCCAGACAGATAAACTCAGCTACTGCTCTGTTTAATCTTGGGCATCTTGAGTTCAATATCATTACATTTGAACATTTTAATGTGAATTATTTTAGAGACAGCCATGTATGCATTAATGAATCAATTATACAATCATTTTGAGTTTGTTTTTACCAATCTAACTACAAAACAACAATGGTAATCATTTATTTGAATGGTAAATCTCTACTGATAAACTGGGTAAATCAAGATGTAGCGTAGGTCTATTCACATTACAGGTGAATGCATATTATTCAATAGGAGTTTGTGCATGCATTGAGTTATTGAGCTTGTTTTAGCTGATTTCATGGGGCTACAGATGACAAACAATCCCTTCCATTTAGAACTATTTTATTGGCAACTGCTATGAGAACATATTTTATTGTACTGATCAACAACATTTGCATAGAAGCGCTCTTCTTTTATAAAAGTGTGTACTGTCTCTTTAAGAAAGTAATGCTGTCATTCACACAGCAGATTGTGGCTGTGGAATCTGACTTTGTGGCTGTGGAATCTGATTTTGTGGCTATGGAAACCAGACGGGAGCATTGAGGTATAATGACGGGAGGCGAGGTAGACGAAAAAGCGAATTAGTTTTTGGTGGCGAGGGAGACAAAGTGAATTTATAACGTTTTTGGTCACAATCAGCTTTGAAATCAGCATATTTTGCATTATGGTTTATCACAAACAAAGTACTAAGTGATAAGTTGCGTCAATTCAAATCTGGTATTGGAACAAAAAGAGGGCAATACACGTCTTCTAAAATAGACTAGTATTTTAATTAATGCAAAACGCTTCAATGGTAAATATGATGTTCGTATATAAGGGTCCACTGAAATACCACGCAGGGTAGTCAGAGAACTGGTCCATTGTTATAGGTTCTTCTTTAAATACTCTGACAGAGATAGTTCCCGCTCCCTGCTGGCCTATCAGAGTAGAGACTGAGCGTGGTTTAGACTTACTCAGCCTATCGTTGGCGCACAGGCTGGTCCCAGCCCCTTGACGCTTCACTGTTGCCAGGTGTCAGTTGTTTTCTCCACAACTTGTCTCGAGTCAGCAACCCCAGACACAGTTTGTAGCAGAACACATGTCCTTGAGCGGTCTAACAAAGAGGCAGTGTGTGAGTATGTGAGACACAAGTCTTATCTCAGCCTACCCCCTAATAGTTCCTCACATTAATCACAGCTTGTTATGTTGACCAATCTATATCAGTACAGCACAAACCTATTATGTTTAATCATTAATGTATTATTTCTAAGCTAGGCATCACATCTAGTTATAAGAAAATAGATCCCCACATAGGGTAGCTTCCAGCTTTATTTGTAGGCACATTTTCCTTGCTAACTTACAGCTGTAAGTTAGCATGGAAAATGTGCCTACAAATAAAGCTGGAAGCTACCGATATCGACTTGCATTGTAAAGTGTAACTAGCCTATATGGACAGTGTTTTGTGAAAAGTAATGAACAGTTTCAACATTTCGACATGCCGTGTTGCATTATTCAAGTGTGTTAAATTCTGTGCAGTGGGGAGCTAACAATGCAGCCCAGACAGCTGTAGCAGGCACTTTTCTATTCGTGCTATAAAGGGGCTGATACAGACTTGATCCTCTCAATCACATGAGACACATTTGACAGAAATTAGTGCTGAACGTAACAAAAATTCTAGTAACAAACTGTTTTTTTTGTGTGTGTATCGAAAAAGTACCGAATTTTCGGTATAGCAACACTAGATGGAAGTGATTTAGCGGGTGTATTTTCACTACAGGACATGTAAGGATGCTCGTAGATGTATTACATGGAATGGGCAACATTTTCCTTCAAGTCCATATCTGAACCTATAGGAGGAATGTAAAGATAATACAGTAGGCCTATCTTTCATTACATTTTACATTTTAGTCATTTAGCAGACGCTCTTATCCAGAGCGACTTACAGTTAGTGAATACATATTTTTTTATACTGGCCCCCCGTGGGAATCGAACCCACAACCCTGGCGTTGCAAACGCCATGCTCTATCAACTGAGCTACATCCCTGCCGGCCATTCCCTACCCTGGACGACGCTGGGCCAATTGTGCGCCGCCCATGAGTCATGAGTCCCGTCTGCTTTTCTTTTGGCCTGATTCAGACATGCAGGAGTGGGATTCTGTCCTTGCCTGACAGGCTGAACACAGCCTTGAGAAGGTTCTCAGATATTATTTTGTGAACAAATGTTTCATTTTGTCTATTATAATAAGGTTGGTAGCAACATGTGAAAATTGTTGTGGAAATCTGTTTCAGTTCGAGTCGACTACAAAACCCACAATGCAATGCTCTCTCTTTGGGCTGGCTGGTTAGCTAGCCATTGTAGCTACACACAATGGCTGTGTCCAGGGCCAGCGCCAGAACAAATCTGTTGGACGGGCATGGGGGCATGTTTTTTTTCACGGGACCACCTATGTGGAGATATATATATCAAATGAAAAATACAAATTAAATATAAGTGTTAAATAAATTGTATTTGTGTAGTGCCTTTGTTACAACTATGAAACAGAAAGCATTGTTGTTGGCACCCGGTATAAGCTTATTTTTATAACGACAAAATACAAATAAATACCCCAACCACCAAGATGCATGGTCAAATGACGAAAACATCAGCAGCCTAAACATCATTACAAGCGCCAAGTGTGCTTGATAATTGTGAAAATCATCACAAAAGCAATAATGGCATTATGAATATAAGTGTTGATTGCAGTCAAAAAGTCAATTATCAGTTGGAGCATGTCCATGTCACATTACCTAAATAACGAAAGCTGTTGAGTGCGTTGCTGATTTTATTTATTGCGTGATGTAGGGCCGGCTCCCTCAGAGATCACATTTTGTGCTGATAATAGCCGTTGCATTCTCACCGGTTCAATTCCAAACACTGTTTCATTTGGTGGTGGTATGGGCACCTGCTCAGTCCGCATGGTTCTGACTTTTTTGCTTAGGCCTCTGCGGTGTGGGTTCAGGTTGCGGCTCAGAATCAGAAGAATACTCAGAGGTGTCATTATGTTACATGTCTTACCCACCATCGAAGTCGTTTCGTTTTAGCAATGCTAACGAATGCATCTATTCGTCTCGGTCTTCTTGCCATTGTAAATTACGCACGCTCTCACTGTGTACTCCAAGTAGGCCAGAGTAGACTGATAGAGTACATATCATTTTGAGATTATAATTAGAATAGATAAATACAATAGAATGGCCCTCCCTGCTGTTCATTCACAATTGGTGATTACATAATTATGCATTTTTCGCTTCCCCTCACTCATCAACTCATCCACTTTCCCCATCATACTTTAGCCTACTTCTTTTATTTAATCTGTTATTATGTGTGAAATTAGTTTTGGTATAGTTTAGGTTCACTTTCGAGGCCATTATCGGGGTGATTTTCAACTGGGAAAGTCATCTTCAACTATCGGGAGAAGGAGGGGAGCAGGTCCTACTATTGAGAGAAGGAGAGGCAACGGGGGAAACTATAAAAACTGTCTACAACACCAGTTCTGTTTGTGATATTAAGATTCTAACAACGACAGTCAAGGACGGAGGGGGGCATTACTTTAAAAATGGTAGCGTAATACATTTTTTAAATTCATGATCAGTCCAAATGACTGCTTTAGCAGTTCTATTGTGGGTTTTATAGCAACAACATGTAATTTAACTGTAAAAATGTATTAGCCTACCTTTTCATGTGGCATGAACACAACCAGTCATGATATTTACATCTGATTGTAAAACAGATCACTTCAAAAAGTAGGTTACCTTTGCACGTTAGTCCAAAATAGCATCCGATCGACTGAAACAGCGCCCTTCTGTATTACAATATGTAGCCCCATGTATCTGATGCGGTCTGGCAATGTCATATTCTTTTAGTCCAGACAGCATCAGATACATGTGCTACATATTCTGAGGCACGAGAGGTGCTGTTTCGCTTGATCGGATGCTTTATCTGACAATGATGGGACTTTGTCGGCGCGCGTCTCGGTCAAATACATTTTCAATATTTAAATATTTTATTTGGAGGGGCATGGAGGTACTGTAGGGCGGGCCAGGAGGTACTACCATTTGGGACGGGATTAGAAGGCAGCATAAAGTGACAACGCATTCCACCGAGGGCGAGATGTTTGTTTACATTGTAGCTACTGTAGCAGCTTGAGCAACTAGTGCTAGCAATTCAGTGAACAACTATCCCAAAATGTAAATGTCTGACACGAATAGCAAGTAAACAAGTAACAGAATCGATCTCCTCAGTACCTGTTCATGAATTATTGATGACACCGACCAGAATAATTATCCTACGGCAGTGGTCACCAACCGGTCGATCTCCAAGGCATTCCTAGTTGATCACCAAACATTTCTGTAAAAAAAAACAACGATAAAGCCTTGCGTTCCTATTTATTTATGCGTTTGCGCTGTTAGCGGTAGGTGCACTTGATTCAGCAGCCTTAGCGCTGGGAAGGCAAAGTGTTCCCATTTTGAACCATTCCATGTGTCTAAAGGTAAAACTCCGCCTCGAGCCATAGACTGTAAAAAGAAGCCTCGAACGCACAGCAAAGTTCAAAACCATGACTAGAGACTCAACGAATACAGCAAAGAGATTTGGTTTATTTGTGTACGTTTATGTTTAAGTTGTGATTCAGCACTGTCAACACTTTGTTCAACACCTTTATAAGCCACCAGCACTGCAGCTGAAATGAATGAGTAAGCCTATAGCAAAGTGTTCTATAATAATAATAATAATAATAATATGCCATTTAGCAGACGCTTTTATCCAAAGCGACTTACAGCCATTAAGCTTGCGTTATTATTATTTCATTTCGAGGAATATTTCACTTTCTCTGGTCATAGGAGTAAGAACATACATTTGTGCATGAGGCCGAAATAATGCAGTGCGACTTAAGTTTCGCCTTCAGCTGGAAGACTGTGTCCCCTTTTCTCAGCGGAGGGCGGAGGGACTGTGAGTCGTGTGAGAGGCAGCCTCACCGCTGCTCCCTCCCTCCCCTCAGACTGACCATCAGATGACCACTGTCCTAAGGTATAGGGTCCTCCTCTCGCATATTGCTTAGTCTGCAGCTCCATCGTTGTGGACAGACAAGCAGCCTTGCATACATAATACAGGATCCGATTTTTTAAAGAATATATTTTACTGACTGTTTAAGAATGATTAATAGCCAGAATAGTGGTGGTACACCATGAAGCTAATATTGCATTAGAGCTGCTAAAGTTTTTTCTATGAGTAGGCTGTCAGTGGAGGCTGCTGAGAGGAGAACGGCTCATAATAATGTCCAGAATGGAGCAAATGGAATGGCATCAAACACCTGGAAACCATCTGTTTGATGTATTTGATACCATTCCACATTTCAGCTCCAGTCATTACCACGAGCCCATTCTCCCCAGTAAAGGTGCCACCAACCTCCTGTGGTAGGCTTGCATTGCGATTAATTCATACATCTATCACACCCGTGCATATTATATTAAATTACACAGATGTTCAGGATAACATGGTTTTATATTAGTTGATAACTAATATTGAAAAGGTGATATGATGCAATTTAACTAGATAAGGCCTAGGCTACTTCATCCTAATGTAAGCTAAACACGTTGGATGCAAATACTGGCATGTGATAAAGGATAACATGTCCAATATAATTCGGAATTATAGGAAAAGCAGCCAACAAGTGCTCAGCATATGTGGGAACTCCTTCAAGACTGTTGGAAAAGCATTCCTCATGAAGCTGGTTGAGAGAATGCCAAGAGTGTGCAAAGCTGTCATCTAGACAAAGGGTGGCTACTTTGAAGAATCTAAAATCTAAAATATATTTTGATTAGTTTAACACTTTTTTGGTTACTATATGATTCCATGTGTGTTATTTCATAGTTTTGATGTCTTCACTATTATTCTACAATGTAAAAAATAGTAAAAATAAAGAAACCCTTGAATGAGTGGGTTTGTCCAAACATTTGACTGGTACTGTATATATTCAATGAAATTAATACAGCATTGTAATATTACTGATGCCTTTCTCTCTCCTTGCAGGGGATAAGACAGATCAACAACAGGCACCAGATGCCCAAGCCTCAAAACCAGAAACGTGGAGACTTTAACACTTGTAATTTTAAATAAATGTTAACATTTTTATTTGTTTTCCTGTATCTGTTCATGAGTCCTTAAAACACAGTCCATTTGACAAAATAAGTAATTCCCAAGTGAGGGACATCTCAAGGACATTAACCTCCAACATTCATAAGCTTGTTCAGTACATGAGGGCAAATTTAGTCATGACCGCCACAGGTGCTTTTATACACAGAACGGGAGTTTACAAGTTTTTGTTCCAGCCCTTAACTAACAACAGAAAATCACATCTGTATTTTAGAATGAGCTTCATAATTGCATGATAAACAATAACATGGGTGAATCTATTTATATCTAACATTGAGATCTTGCACACTCCTTAATAGAATCCTGGGATATGGTGATTATCCTGGTGGCTGGGAGGTTCCCAATAAGTTATTTACATCTGCAGGGTGTCAGATGTCCTTCAAGCAGAGACAATGGGTGAGAAAGTAAACCACTTTGGTGACAACTTTAGTCCCTGAAAACAAATGGGAAAAAACTATTTGCCACATGTCTATATCTGACTAGCAAGTTCACCAATTCATGATTTAAAAACAGTCCAGGTCTTCACAATTGACACATTGCTGAATCTACGATTAGGCCTAATTAGTTTAGTTGTTCAACTCCAAACAGCCGATAAGCACGACTAGATCGCACAACGTTAGCTAGCTATCGCGTACGACATGTTAGCTAGCTAGCTTGGCAACGGGCTGATAAACAACAGTTACCCAACATTTGAATTCAAAATACATAGGAAAGTAATTTGTTGAACATTTTAACATCATTTGGTGAATAAATAAACGTTATACTTACATTTCGCGAAGTTATTCCTTATTCTTCTGGAAAATTGTATCCCAAGCGGGGACTTGTGTCCGCCATTAACTCAGAATTGTTTAGAATTTTAGGTGCGGCGAAGGATACATGGGATGGCATTTTAAGGTACCTTGGGATTGGGACATGCCAATTTTGACATCCTGACTAGAAATGCTGCCTCAAAAGGCTGCATACTTGTCGATTGGGACACAGCCTTAAATACCAAAGTCAATATCAGCATGTGAAGTAGCCAGTTAGCTGTAAAATCGCCTAAACAAACTGCACTATCAATTTAGGAGTCTACAATCTCACCATGTTCAACCTGCAGATCGATGTGCCTCACAGAGTGGTCTAAAATTCGCAACGGCACCATGCAATGCACCCTGGACTGAAGAGGCAGATAAATAGGAGAAATGTGTTAAACCCTCTGTTAAATTACAAATGTCTCGAGGTAGAAATATTGCAAAAATATGATCAATGGCTCATTCGAGAGAAGACAACCTATCGCGTTATGACATCGGCCATTATTGAAATCTGTCATGTATGATAGACGTTTTCATGATCTAAAAGTAGTTTTCCTATTAACTTCCAGTGTATTGAGAACGGCTTTATCTCAATGCTACGTCATACGGGCCGAATTTCTAACTGCTTGAACGGCAATATCTCAGATACACATGAAAACATGAATTGACCCAGGGAATCGATAGAACATTGTTCAGAGATGCCAAAAACAATATAACAATATATATACATATAATTTGTGTGTGTTATTGTTGGTTTTGTCTGTATGGAAAATTGTAAAAGAAAATGTTTGAAAGAAATTTAAAAAATGGATGAATCTTTACTTTAAGTGCCAGTAAACATGCCACTGGCAGATGTTGTCCGGGCGATCGGTGTAAGGCCCCAGCCAGTCGCTCTTGAGCCAGAACACCAGCCCCACCAATATGCTGTTGGCGCACTCCAACCATAGGAGGTTGACGCTGATGTAGGCAGGGACTGCAAGGCCCAAGAGCTCACAGGCGATGCACATGACCAGGTAAGATGCCCACGTTGTGCCGAAGTCCAAAGTCAGGCTGAGGTAAAGGGGGGGCCTGTGCCATTCGCTCTCCACCACCAGTGCTTTCTCCTCGTCCTCATCACCCCCTAGCTGCTGTAACTTGGCATACCTGAAGCTCAAGTGGCTCTGCAGCATTGGGTTAACATTGTCCATCTGCTCTGACAGCCTGTTGGCCTCCTTCAGCCACAAAGACAGCTGTTTGTAGTGGAGCAGCATTACACAGCAGATGGCTACGGAGATCCCCACTGAGAAATGTACCACAAACACAGACTCCTGCACCGCGCACCCTAAAGCGTTCCTCCCTCCCTCGTACTCAACCTCTATGAGGTTGGTGACGGCTGAGCAGCAGGAGTACACGCCGGCCAGCACCCACACCAGCAGCGTCAGGGCGTAGTTCCACAGGTCCCTACAGGGGGCGACGTGGCAGGCGGTGTAGCGTGGCTCGGAGGCGTAGTCCAGCAGCCCCAGGCCCAGCATGGGCAGAGGCAGCGCGTTGAACACGGCTGAAGCATGCGCCAAGAGGAAGCAGATGGACACCGGGGAGCGGGCGGGTCCGAGGAACCACACAGCCGCCACAGCGCACACCAACACCACATCGACCAGGAAGACAGAGAGGCCACAGATGTCCATGAAGGAGGTGTGCAGCCAGCGCAAGCACATCGACAGGACCAGACAGTCCAGGCCCACCTTTAATAGAAAGATGAACAGAAACTGACTGGTGCTGTCCTCGTAGCAGCTCCCCTCCTCTTTCCAGGACTCAATGATGGCCAGCATTTTGAAGCTTTTGCCGTTAGGACTGAGCCCAGCTCCAGAGGTCATCTACTGGGTCTGTGACGTTCCACCCGGTGTCACCATGCTCAGGGAAAAGCTGTTGAAGAGAGAGTGACAGAGATGTGGAACAGTTAGAAGCAATCTACAAACAGCTTCTACCAAGCAATGAGAAATTTTTCTAGTGTTATCAGTACTACCTGGCCTCTTGTGACTCGTCTACAGAAACAACTACACCCTAGGGATATCGAAAATAAGAAACTTAAACTCTCCCTTTAAAGGAATAGTTCACCCAAATTACAAAATGACACAGGCTTACTTACCCTGTAAAGAATGCTAATATTGTACTATGACTTGATTGGGATTTGTGCCACAAACGTTAGCATTTAGAAACTGTGCCAGGGAAACTAAACCAAAGCATGGATTGCTGTCATATCTTGTCCATGGACTGCTTACAGGGTAAGGAAACCAATATGTAGAATCAGGAATTCCCCAGGGCAGCTGTCTAGGCCCATTACTTTTTTCAATCTTAACTAATGACATGCCACTGGCTTTGAGTAAAGCCAGAGTGTCTATGTATGCGGATGACTCAACACTATACATGTCAGCTACTACAGTGACTGAAATGACTGCAACACTTAACAAAGAGTTGCAGTTAGTTTCAGAGTGGGTGGCAAGGAATAAGTTAGTCTTAAATATTTCTAAAAGTAAAAGCATTGTATTTGGAACAAATCATTCACTAAACTCCAAACCTCAATTAGATCTTGTAATAAATAATATAGAGATTGAGCAAGTTGAGGTGACTAAACTGCTTGGAGTAACCCTGGATTGTAAACTGTCATGGTCAAAACATATTGATACAACAGTAGCTAAGATGGGGAGAAGTCTGTCCATAATAAAGCGCATCTCTACCTTATTAACAGCACTATCAACAAGGCAGGTCCTACAGGCTCTAGTTTTATCGCACCTGGACTACTGTTCAGTCGTGTGGTCAGGTGCCACAAAGAGGGACTTAGGAAAATTGCAATTGGCTCAAAACAGGGCAGCACGGCTGGCCGTTGGATGTACACAAAGAGCAAACATTAATAATATGCATGTCAATCTCTCCTGGCTCAAAGTGGAGGAGAGATTGACTTCATTACTTCTTGTGTTTGTGAGAGGTGTTGACATGTTGAAAGCACCTAGCTGTCTGTTTGAACAACTGGCACACAGCTCAGACACCCATGCATACCCCACAAGACATGCCACCAGAGGTCTCTTCACAGTCCCCAAGTCCAGAACAGACTATGGGAGGCGCACAGTACTACATAGAGCCATGACTACATGGAACTCTATTCCACATCAGGTAACTGATGCAAGCAGTAGAATCAGATTAAAAAAAACAGATAAAAATACACCTTATCCAACAGCAAGGACTGTGAAGCAACACAAACATAGGCACAGACACATGCATACACACACGATAACAAACGCTCTATACACACACGTACACATGACCTTCTCCAGCTGTTTCTGGGTCTTCCTGGTTTCCTTTTTCGCTGTGGGTTCAAGGTTAGATCTTGTCTGGTCGTGTTGATGGGTGGTTTCTTCAAGGTGTGCCCGATCCAGCCCAATTTCCTGCATTTTATTTTAGTGTCAATTTGTTCTTGCTGTGTAATTTCCCAGAGATCTTCTTTCCATATGGCCAGTATATTCCCAGGATGTGTCTTAGGCATTTGTTTATGAATTTTTTAAGTTTGCTGCTTGTGACTCTTGTGGTTTTCCGTATAGTAAAACTGATTTGACATTGGAATTTAAGATGCATATATTGTTTAGTGTTTATTTGTTTTGAAATCCATATTTGCTTTAGCATTAGAAATGCGGTTCTTGCCTTTCCTATTCTTGTTTGTATATCTTTGTCACTTCCTCCATCTTTCCTGATGACACTTCCCAGATAAGTGAATGTGTCCACTTCCTCCAGCACATCTTCTTCTGCATCTGTTGTTTTGTGTGTACTATGTTGTCAGCGAAGTCTAGGTATTCTAGTTGGGACCAGAGGGTCCACTGTATGCCAATGTTTTCTCCTGTGGTGGTTGCCTTCATTATGCAGTTGACTGCCATTAGAAAGAGAAGGGGGAACCGCAGGCAGCCCTGTCGAACTTCTATGTTTACGGGGAAGCTATCAGAGACAAACAAAAAGAAACCAAGCCAAGCATCACACAGTTCTTCTCCCTAAACTCCCTTTCCCCTCCATTTCTCACTCACTCAATTGCGTTCCAACCACTTCCTCTACACATGTGTGCTGCTGAGTGCGCACACAAGCTCCCATAGGCCTACAGAAATAAATACCTATAAAAACGTATCTAACAGATGTGATACACAAGCTGCATTCCTTGCCAAATGACGACAGTTTTATCACAAATTCAAAATGGACTGGTTGATTGAAGTAGGGGAAATATGTGTTCCAACAACGAGCTGCAGTTTTGGAATAATTGCGTCCCGTCTATACTTTGCAAACTGCTAGTGCCATTTAGAATGGGTTAGCCTAGGCTATAACCCCCTAAACATAGACAGATCCACACTGAAAATATGCAAAAACATTAGTTTGATAAAGACAGAGCGTATTTTCATCAGAATCATTAAGCCTATGCCTACTCACCAAACAGATGTCGTTGCCGTAATTCATCACCGTACAGTGTTCAATGCGGAATTGTTAATCCATTCAGAACATTTGAAAGAATAGGCAGAATAAACTAAATAAAACTTCTGTATATCGAAAAGAAAACAGATATAGGTTTGTAACCCTGAAGAAATTGTCTTTCAGCCAAATTGAGCCCTGTTTCAAATTATCACTCTTTGAGAACAACTGTTCCAGATGTGAGATGCGCATCACTTCACACTGGCAACTTTTTTCATTTGGAAAAATATTCTGTCTAATTTTATTCTGTTATATTATATCATGTTTTTTACATATAAAAATCTCAAATAGGTGTGTCTTTGAAAATGGGGTCACGAGAGAAACTCTGAAATAAAACGTTAAAATTGCACTTGGTTCATAGAACCGAGGTTACATCAGTAAGCTCTGGTAGCCGCTAGATGCGGTTGTAATAAAAATAGTGGTTTCTGTTTTCTTCCTACAAATATGACTATATTTTTAACGGTTTAAGCAAAAAAATATTATGACCCCATCACTGAAAGATAAGACTCTCAGGAATGCCCACAAGACGTGCAGAACTCATTAGAACAGAGTGGACAAGACCAGGCACTAAATCAGACTGGGGGGGGGGGGGGGGGGGGGGAGAACATCATCACTGGCTAATCCAATTGGTGACAGATTTTCATGCAAATATTCTCAAATCCGCAAAAGAACAATATACACATTTTCCCACCAGAGATGTTTCCCATCAAATTGACTTGTTGCGGATAAAAGGCTGTGCCTGATGATGTAGTGCACATTAAAATACCCTTTGCTGTTAAATTCCCATGTAGTCCCCTGTAGCTCAGTTGGTAGAGCATGGCACTGGCAACGCCAGGGTTGTGGATTCGTTTCCCACAGGGGGCCAGTATGAAAATGTATGCACTCACTAACTGTAAGTCGCTCTGGATAAGAGGGTCTGCTAAATGACTAAAATGTAAACAATTTAAATGTACCGAATAATAAATACTGTTAAATGGTTTTCTCAAAAAAAAATTGCGTTATATAGCGAGTGTACCCACTCTGGTATTGGCACATGAGCCAACAGCTCGCAGATACAGTGCAGATATAGCCTACATGATTAAATTATTATGGACAAAAGAGCAAGATTATTTGTATTTGTCAGACGGCAGCCAAGCATTGATGATCATGTCACCAGAATAAGACCCTCAATATTTATTGGAAAGGAGCTTCAAGCTCATCCCATGCACTTACTTTCACCAGTGAAGTTCATAACTTATTTAATACGTAGCCTAATAAACTGCATCCTTTCCAGACAAGTCGTAGTGGGACGACCATACAACATGTCATCGCGTGACTCCAAGTTAACTTCGATTTGATGATTATTATATCAATATTTGTGCATAAAAGCGTTTCCACCGCCATTTCTCGCATTATTAATTTCACCGACACAAAAAGATTGAGGGATTACATCCCTTTTTTTTGACATGGTGGGGGTGGCGATTTAAAACAAAAATATCAAAATAGGCTCGCAGGCCAAAAAGGTTTGGGAACCCTTGTACTAGCCTAAGCCCTATTTACCTATCACTGGAAACATACTGTATCTTTAAAATGACAGCCAATCTCAAACCACTGGGTGTCCTGACTGCATGTCTCATAATTTTGTTTATCATTGACATTATTAATCACGTTATTTTCAAGCAAGTTTAATGCAGCAATCTTACCTGTGGTTGGACATAATTCTGGACCTTAACTTGTGCGTCTCAGTATTGAAGCAGGAGCTCTCAACCAGATCACAATGAGCTGGGGTTGTGTGGCCATGCCAAGCTTTCCTTTCTTCCCCCCTTAAAGATAGTGCAGCGTGTTTACTGCCCACAGACAGGAGACTCTGGACATACATAGGGGTGGACTGACTCTGATGGCCAGTACTATTGGGTGGGAGAAGGAGTTTCTCCAGGGATGCCTTGGGTACAAACGGCTCTTTCAGAGGGGCTGAATGCCCTCCCTCTCCACCCCCACAGCGCAGTGACAGGCCGGTATGTGTACGTTTCATCCACCAGCTCCGCACTCTGAGGCGTGTGGGCAGACAAAGACCTAGGCCAGC